GGATCCACGAGTCCTGGAACCCCAGCTTTGAAAAGTACGACAAATTCAAATCTAAAAGGCTCATTTTTAAAATCGCAGTAGGCGTAAGTTTCTTGAAAGTGTGTTTGAAGTGTTGGTAAATTGAAGGTGCATGTGGAACACGTTTATGTGTTGAAAACGACGAAAAAAAAAGGTGTGCGTTTAGTAGCTAGATTTGGCTATATAGCTGAGATTTTTAGCTATATAGCTGGGACGTTTTAGCTATATAGCTGGGACGGTTTCGAACACGCCCCCTGCCGTCTCAAATGCCAAGTGCAAAGTTCGATTTTAGCCGCTCACATCTATTGGCGCTGTGTTCGTTTGTTCTAAAACTCGCAAGCAGTGCGACGGTGATTTTTATACGTGGCGTACTTTAACGCCACCTACTTGCGCAACGTGCAAACCTTACGACCTTTACGACACCTGTGAATGGTTTTCAGATTGGCGAGCTCCAGCCTTTGGGAATTATTCAGTTTTCGGCCGTCGATCGTCCAAGTCCTCCAAAAGGAGCAAAGGGTAAGTCAGCAACAAGGAGTCATCACCTGTCTTTATTTCTTGGAAGATCTAGGGCCTTCGTATAAGTCTCGATATTTTAGTAGACCTTAACGAGTTTGGCATTTGTTAATAGACACTTCATCTCTGCATTTACTGGCAGGAGGTCTTGGAGCGGGAACAGGAAGCAATTGACCAGAAGGCCAGGAGTCTGGAGGCCAAGCTGCGCGCCGTGATGGGCGGCAATCCAAGTAATAATCGTCGCAGTAGAGGCGGGGAAATCCGTTCCTAGGCTAAGCCGAAATAGTATTGGTGGTGGCGGTGGCAGCAAGGACGACGACGATAACGAGGCCACGTCCAGCGACAGTGGATATGCCCATATCCGCACCACCATTGAGGTAGGGTGATTGGCGCGTTCCCTAATAGGCCTAATCCACTGTAACACATTATCCGTCGGATTCCATCAACTCGTGAAGCTTGGTGTTGCGCTTCTTTGGCGCCTCTTCACAGCCTTTTCTTCTTCCTCTTCGACTTTTATGTCGTCGGCCGTGCCCTTGACGCATAGAAAAAAGTGAAAACCTACCCATCGTGAGCCGTGCTCTCGAAAAGTGCTGGGACGCCAACAATGGAGGAGTAGAAGTCCAGATACTCAAATTGGTTAACTAATTGGTTAGTTTGTGCTTGTGGTGTGTTCACTTTTAAAAGACATGTTTTGCGCAAAGGTTGCAGTCTCTAAAAATTCTGTTGTTATAGAATTTGCGGCTCAGACGGAAAATTCAGCTCCACCGGAAGCAGCTCCAGAGCCAGCGCCAACACCAGCAGCCCGACTGGGGCCACCACCACTGACGTGGTTTCTGATTCGTGAAGCAGCGCCTTCACTTGCTGAAGAGCTGGCGCCGACGATTCCACCACTTATGTGGTACAGGACGTCGACACCATTGGATGAAGCGCCGGAACAAGACAGAGATGGAGAACCACTTGCTGAATACCAGGCGCCGACGATTCCACCACTTATGTGGCTGTCGACACCATTGGATGAAGCGCCGGAACACACACAGCTTGTCGCCAGTAGGCCTACCAGGCTAATCAACATATATTAGAGCCTGAGGCGATGTCGGGAGTTCCAAAAGCCTCCAGCCTTCGACGAAAGTTTTGCTGCTCAAGGCAATTTTAACGCCAACCTGGACGTATGCGATTGAGATATGGGGTACTACATAAAAAGAAAGTAGATCCTTATTTGCAAAATTAACACTTACTGTTAATTTAATAAATATTTTATATAATTATTAAAAATATAATTGTTCGTCGATTTGGCTGTAATTCCACCATTTGGAGTAAAAATAGGCAACCGAGGCCAAAGGGCCCTCATGTACGTTTCGACCCTGGACAAAATGGATACGACAACCACAGTTACAAAATATTGCCACCCCCCAGAGGGGGTGGCCCTAATGATCTGGAAGGCGCTGGCGTTGGCGTTTCTAAATTGATAATCATCTGGCTGGTTGTTTTATTAATTTGATTTGTTTCACAATTTCTAATTTTCCAGGATTTTACGAATGCCAAGCGAATATCATCTACGCCATCGATCGACGAGGCTTTCGCACGGACTATGCTATGGTTAACTTTTAGGACTGGGGAAGAAGCAAGCTTCTTGCTATTCGGAGAGACTATTCCTGTGGCAGCCCAAAGTGAGTGGCCCTTAGACTATAATGAGCTGAATATATAGAATATTGACTTACAGGAAGCACTGCAGGCAAGACCGAGCGACGCAACTATACGGGCAAGAAACTCTCTTCCACGCCACCCAGGAGGTGAGAGTTTTGGCGCGTTTTTTTTTTGTGGCCATAGCTCCTATTAAGTAGGCAAAGAATTCTTTCGATCGTTGGATTTGCCTCGGGAATGCCTTTATGGGCTCGCGCAACGCATCTTGCCACTTTTGCCCTGTTGTCTCAAGAGCATCGTTGTTCGCAAGTCTGACATCGAAGATATTGTCTTCTGGACAACAAGTAAAATATTGTTCACCAAGTACCTCAATTTTCGATATCTCCCTTATGAGTGTGTCTTCAAGCATTGAAGGGCAGAAATTTTGGACTTCAGATTTCAGTTTTAGTATTTCATCAATAAAACTTGATCTGCTAAATAACGAGTACATTTTATTAAACAAATAATTTAGTTTTATTATATGGCTTGGGAATTGTTTCTCTAAAGCTGCTTTGCAATGCAAAGCGTCCCATAGGAGAGGGACATTTGGGATATGAGCAGTTAACGTGTAATTAACTGAATAGCCGTCTGCCACAACGGCCATCAAATTGTTGTCCACTTTTAAATTTCTTAATTTTTGTACAATTTTTTGGGCAATTAGTTGGAAGGTTACTCGATTTTGTTGTAATATGCTTCCAGATTTTCCTACGAGGGACGAAAGTACAATTTTCGGGGTGTGGTATAATTGTGGGCAGAAGTGTATTTGATTTCCTCCAGGTCCTCCTCTTGCTGACATCTCAGCTGAGTCGCGACCTAGCCACCAAAATCCCAAGTGGCAATTTAAGGGGTTAGTTTATAAATTCCCAATAGCTTCCTAGAAAGGTCTTACCCAGCGATATCCACCAAGGTGGATACGATATCCATGTTGTTGCAGCTGGTGATAGAGGTCTCACCTTTCAGTAGACATTTAAATATAGACTGTTTCAGGCGCTAAAAAAGATATCTGTCTCGAAGTTTATGTGCTTACCCACCTGTGGATTAGGCCTCCTGGGGACACCACGTTAAAAAAAGCTCGCCATCTCTCAACCTCTTAGGTGATCTGGAATCCTTTACTAAAGGAGCGACTTCTGGCAGAAAGAGCTGAGAGCGATGTAGTTGGAAAAGCACGCAATAGAAATCCATAGCTAAATTACATATTCTATTAGAACTTCATCATGTATTAAATTAATAAAAAAAAAAAAACAAATTTAACTCTCATCAGTATTTTCAGGAAGAAATCAGCTTAAACATTTTAAGCACGGATAAGAACGCTTCACCTCATGTAGTTAAAACGAGCAATCATGAAGAAGTACCTACAGTGGCTCACAGCTTAAAGTATGCAGTGCATACTTTTAACTTTAAACGCCCATAGCGGTAAAACTATAAGGAATATTGGAATAAACAAGGTGCCAAATGAAAGATTAACTTATTTAGAATAACGTAACAAAATCATTTATTTTCAAAAACGGCTTTAACACAAAAAAAACTTTAAAAATGAAAAATACAGCTTATATTCAGCTCACAGCTTATTTTATGCAGTTAGTTTTCTCAGTAACTACGCTGGAAATTCCATGGAATTTTTCCGTTTTTTTGGCGTTGCTAGCTTTGCCATTCTTCTTTATTTTCTTAATCTCAACGACTCCAGATAGGCGATTTTTAAAATGAGTCCACGCACAACAGCCATTCATAAGCCCAAAGAATAGGTTAGCTCGCCTAAAATATGCAAAAGATCACCTTTCCAAGACCCCCGACTTCTGGAAAAGTGTGATATTTGCAGACGAATCAAAATTTAATATATGTATGGCGGAAGCCCAATACAGAGCTTGAACCAAAGAACCTGAAGGCAACGGTAAAGCACGGCGGTGGCAGCGTGATGGTTTGGGCCCGTATGTCAGCTGCTGGCCCTGGAAAACTGACTTTTATTGAATCGATAATGGATAAAAAAGCATACCTTCAAATATTAAAGGACAATTTGGTCCAAAGTGCCGAGGATCTTGGAATAAAAGTCAATTTCCGCTTTAATCAGGATAATGATCCAAAGCACAAGGCTGGAATTGTGCGGATGTGGTTGCTGTACAATTGCCCTCACGTTGTCCACAACGGCTCAGTCACCGGACCTCAACGTTATTGAAAATTTATGGGCCATTTTGGATAATAATATTAGAAATTACCATATTTCTAACAAAAATGATTTAAAAGATGCCCTAATGAAGGAGTGGGGAAAGATCTCGTCAGAAGTCACACAAAAATTGGTTGAATCAATACCGAAAAGGCTGAAAGATTTCGTTGACAATAATGGTTACCATACCAAATATTAAAAACGTTATATTTTTGAGTTTTTTCCTTATTTTTTGAACATTTTTGAGACTGCATAAAATAAGCTGTGAGCTGAATATAAGCTGTATTTTTCATTTTTAAAGTTTTGTTTGTGTTTAAGCCGTTTTTGAAAATAAATGATTTTGTTACCGTATTCTAAATAAGTTAATCTTTCATTTGGCACCTTGTTTATTCCAATATTCCTTATAGTTTTACCGCTATGGGCGTTTAAAGTTAAAAGTATGCACTGCATACTTTTAGCTGTGAGCCACTGTATTTATTTGACCATATCCATATACATAAATAGAATGCTAAAAGCACTTCAAGTGTAAACTGCATTACATTATCTTTCAAATCGAATCACCACTTAGCATCATCAACTGATAATCCCCCTATTGAACTCTTTTACCAACTCAATTTGAATGGGCTTTCCGGCCAACGGCAGTCAAGCTTCTCTCGCGCAAAAGCCTGGCTGTGGAAAGCTCGGGAATTCCCAGAACTGTCAACGAGCAACATATGTTCGGCCAGCTGGCAGGTCACGCATGTCAACACGGCAGGTAAACAAACACCTGTAGAACGCCCGTCGAGGTAAACAAACCCCAAGCGCAGAATCGCCAAACGTCAGAGCAGGCGCACTGAGCGACCAGAAGAGTGCGGAGAATGCTTTTTGAGGACGAACTAGGGTCGTCCTCTTCCTACTTAAGGAAACCCATGCATCGAGCTTTAAGCTGGCCCAGAAATGTCAGGGAAACGTCAAAACGGGCCACGACAGTGTAGAGAGAAAAGTTTTCGCTGGCCAACAACACACACACACCGAAAAGTGGTGGCTCGCGGAGAAAATTATTGAAAACTAGTGAAAATTCCAAGGGACAGAATATGCTGAGCCGACCCAGTGCCTAGGGAAAAGTGAAATATATACACAATATAGCAGTGATCCAGTGCCGGAGATCGGGGGATATGTTTGCGAAGGGCCAAGGCAGGTGGCCAGAACCGAGCTAACGGGCTAACGGGATATGTGTGTGGCCAGCTCGAGTGCGTGAGTGTGTGAGCGCCGCAGCGAAGTAGGCTACGAAAAACGCATCGCCTGGTATTTATGTCGCGCTCCCGCTGGATCGACCCCCGCCGTCATCATCAGCAGTTAGTAGATCGCAAGTATCGGGCCATCCGGGGCAACCATGGCCTGGCTCCTAACCAGATTCCTGGCCTGCTGGCGCCTCTGCCTCGGCCTGCTCTCCGTTCTGGTCTGCTTGGCCCCGTGCGTCAACCTGCAGCCAGCCGAGAACATCAACTACAATCTGTGAGTTTCGCCGGAGTAACGGATATATCCTGTCCAGGGATAATGCTACAGTAATCCCCAATCTTCCCACCCATCCAGCGTTCACTCGTGGGCCGACAAACTGGGCACGGAGCTGTTTCATCTGGGCGATTTCATCACCAGGCGCAAGGAGGTTCAAAATGTGAGCAAAGAGCATTTTATTGATTTTTCCGCCGCTCCGCTTTTTCCCCTGCTCACCTCTTCCCTTTCCTCGTTCTCCGTTCTACGTTTCCCGTTTTCCACTTTTTCGGTTCTGTTTTTGTGCGCTCCTTGTTGACGTCTCTCTGAGGCTGAGGCTTCGGCTCCGTATTTGGGTTAAAGGCTGCTAGCCCGAGCGGCAATTATAAAAAATGTAAAGCTGAGATTCTAAGGCAGTAGGCCGAAGTTTCAATGCCCTGGGAAAATCTATACAATGGGGTAATAATAATTAGTTTTGAGACAGAAAAGTGAAGTTTTGGAAATGTAAGGCAGTGGGTCAAATCGTAAATGCTCATATGTTCTTGATTTAACACAGATATCAGATATATTGTTACAACAAAATAGATATATACCTAGATTTTAATCCACTTAAATCAAAAAATATATAGACAATTCACATATATAATTATAATATCTTCTAAGAAGAGTATAATAAGGTCTAATACGATGGAAAACTTATTTTTGGCCGCCTAAGGGTCTCCATGCCCATATGAGGTCAGTGCGCTGCCAGTGGCCAGGACAGCTGGTAATTTATTTTTAGGCAGCGCAATTGGATTTACAAATGAAATTGTTTCACACATGGACTACAAGCGCATTGGCGCCAACTGCTTATAATGTTCGTTATGCATGTAAATGTGTTTGTCGATGGCCCCACTGGGGCCTCCAAATGGGTTTAACGGGGTGGTTCCGCTTTGGGCAAAGAAGGGAATGCCAAAGACAGTATGGTTTTGTAAATAATAATGAAGTAATACAATAAAACGGCATACAAACAGGAATAATATATATGCAAAGCTAGGGGAACCCATTGAAAACCCCTTAAAATATGAGTTAGTTTAATCTCTTATTGAACCTTAAACAGCATTTCAAGGACGCGAAGGTGGTATCACGGAATGGCGCCTCAATTGTCGATTCGATGGCCAAGGAAATCGAAATGATGATGGATCTGAAGGTCAGCGCTGTGCGGGTATGTTGCTACCATATTTCTTAATCCATTCAGGAAACTAACCAATCTGGAACACCATATATTCAGCGCATTATGGACACGGCTGAGAATACGGCTCTGTCGCACCAAAACGATATGGCGGACAAGATGTTCTCCTACTACAATGCCAAGGAGATGCTGGAGCCCGGCGACCCCATACCGCCCATACCCACGCCGGCCCCGGACATGGACAAGGATATTGGCGAGCCGCTGATCTACGTGCAGCCGAAGGTGGTGGTTCTGGAGCCGCGCCCGGAGTTCCACAACACTCCAGTCAACTTCAGTGTCAGCTCGGTTCACGTGCCGGTCAATGTGTTCGATCGAGGTTTGGAATAATCCATCATCACCATAATCCGTGTATCTCTTCTCTCCGCTCTCTCTATCTCTCACTCTGTCTCTGTGTATCTCTTTCTCTCTCTAATGTAACTGTAATTGTGGCCTGTTGTTGTATTTGTGTGAAAGGTCCTGTTCTTATACCTTTTGTGATCGAACTCGCCGGTTCATATACATAAGTCATTTAAGACGAAAGATATAATGAACAGTTAATGAAACAATTTTGTAATGTTGATAATTAATTGTTCTTGTAGTCCATTTAATTTGTAAACATTATTCGAAAGACTTTTTAAGGAAATGTTATCGTTCGATCCAATTGGAGCATAAGATCAGGACTCTTTGTAATGCTTTTCGAGTCAAACACCAGTAAAAAAACTTACCAAACACTCTCCGTCTCAGTCTAGCTACCTAAAAGTAGTACCCAGAAATCGCATCTAGCTAGCTCGCTCTATCTCTCTATCTCTGTCGCTCGCTCGCTCACTCGCTCTTTAGCTGTTTGCTAGCTCGCTTGCCCGTAATCGTTGTTTTTTTTTCTGTATGCCATATAAGCCGTACGCTGCGCCTCTTTTTCCTCGAAGGGATTCCTGAAACAAACTCTACATTTTGATTTGGTTTTTATTGGGGCTATAAAGCCATGCAGTTTTTAAAAATAACTTTGGGAAAATAATGTTGAATTAAAATACTGAAACTAGTTGGAAATTCAAGCTAAAAAGGAAGGAAAAGGAAGAAAATATTAAAATAAAACACTAGAACTAATTGGGAATTATAAATAAGAGATAGTTTTCATAGATCAAAATATCACAGTCATGACCTTATGCAAAATGTTATTCTAATGAGAACACACTTTTAATAACATTTTACAATTTTTCAATTATAAAAATAGTTAAGAAATAACGAATATTTTTTGCTTCGTTTACTGAATCCATCAGTCTAAATCAAATCGAATCAGTTTTAGGAATCCCTTTCTTGATTTTTTTCGATTTCCAAACCGCTTGCGTCAATGCGTGCGAGGGACGCGTGCACGTGTCAAGCAACGCACTGCGCTGCCCGGCCCAAACCCCACCGTACCTAATGCTTCGCGAGATGGGATCCGTTCCCGTCAGAGCCGATCCGTAAATTGTATAATTCCGCCGGGGCCGCTGGCTGTGCAATGCGTACGTTGACGTCGCGCCCGGGTCCAACGCCAATGGGAATGCGAATGCGAATGCTCCGGCTGCACTGCCGAAAAACACTCGGAATGCTTGCCAAAAACCGTACAACACCCAACTTGAGCCACCAGCACACGAACCCAGTACAACTGCTACAACACACCATCTGTCACTGTAACGTCCGCGGAGGAGGAGATAGATTACGACTAGGATTAAGTCCGCACAAGTCGAGGCCAACTAATCTGTGTTTCTTTGCAAAATTCTTTCCGTTTCATTGCCTTGAACCTCGAACAAAACATACAAAACACACCACAAACCACACACAGCACCGGATGTGATAAAAGCAATTCAGTGGTCGGAGAATTTGGATCAGATATTCCGCGACAATTACAAAAACGATCCGACATTGTCGTGGCAATTCTTTGGCAGTTCGACTGGCTTTATGCGTCAATTCCCTGCATCGAAGTGGAATAAGGACGTACCGGTCGATCTATACGATTGCCGCCTACGCTCCTGGTATATGGAGGCGGCGACGAGTCCGAAGGATATCATTATCCTGATGGATGGATCCGGTTCAATGTTGGGACAGAGGCTAGATATCGCAAAGCATGTTGTCAATACGATACTCGATACATTAGGTACAAATGACTTTGTGAACATCTTCACCTTTGATAAGGAAGTGAGCCCAGTGGTCGGATGTTTCGAGGAGACACTCATTCAAGTATATATCAATTTTCCTTTTGCCTAATTTAAATTTAATTTATAATTAACAATTTGATTTCTGTCTATCCCCGCAACAAACACGACCAAAATCGCAATTCGAATTCCAAATTCGATCGATCGCAAACACACCCAATTGATGCAACCAAAAACGATAACAAAACACGGTAACCCAAAAAAACACACAACCCAAAAACCAACACACTTTCGAAATTCATCCAGGCGAATCTGGGCAACATACGTGAACTGAAAGAAGGGATTGAATCGTTTAAGCCCAAATCGATTGCCAATTATACCGCTGCATTGACAAAGGCATTCGAGATATTGGAAGATACCAAGTCGACGTCGCGCGGGGCGCAGTGCAATCAGGCGATCATGATCATTGGCGACGGGGCGCCGGAGAACAATCGCGAGGTCTTCGAGTTGCACAATTGGCGTGACCCGCCGTACAAGCCGGTCCGTGTGTTCACCTACCTGATTGGCAAAGAGGTGGCTAATTGGGATGATATACGGTGGATGGCGTGCGAGAATCAGGGCTACTATGTCCACCTCAGCGACACCGCCGAGGTGCGCGAGATGGTCTTAAATTACATTCCAGTTATGGCCCGTCCCCTGGTCTTGGGTAGGCACGATCATCCGGTGATTTGGTCCCAGGTCTATGCGGACATCGAGGTGGGTAGTGGTGCCCCAGAGTGGCGTCATCACATTATGTGACTCTCCTGGTTAGCGAAGAACTCCCCCAAAAACACTTCATCCTCTCCCTTTCCCTCTCTGATCTCTGTGCGTAGGACACCAAGCTCTCCGACTATTTGTGGGACATCAATCAGTGCGAGTACCAAAAAGCGGATGTCCTAGAATACTGGCAGGTGCACGACCGAATGCTGGAGCCCAGCGAGATGCACCGACGGAAGTACAGACGAATGAAGGAGGTAAGTTCTTTCTGAGACATTATAAGTGAATAAGATGCGTAACGCCATAGCTGGCTCGAGCTTCCTTTTAAGCTTATAGAGGTTTAAATCTATGATTTTGATTTTTATGTTATTTCAAGTCGCTAAAACATTTCCTAATATGTGCTTTTATCCATTGATTTCAGACCTGGAACCAGCCTGTGGACTCGAATGTTTACCAGTTCATGACCACCGTCTCGATGCCCATCTACGACCGACGTGAGAACGCGGTAAGTGAGAATCAATGCAAATGCCTTTCGTGGTGTTCCCTGGCACCGGGGTACCTGAGTATTCATATATTTATATTGAATCGAACTCTATCAAGCGAGTTAGCACTGCAAAATTCTTAGCGGAAATGAAAGAAAGAAAACTGAAATCAGAATCAGCAGCCGCCCCCAAACACATTAACGATCGAAGCAAGAAATCGAAATACAGCAAACCAATCTGAACCTATCTATGTAACAACTCACTTTATACTACTACTACTACTACTGTATTAATAATTTATGCGTTATATATATAACACGATACTTACTACCTACTACTACTACTACCAAACCATACACAACTATATACCACAGAATATCACCGAAGAAGTTTTAATAAATGAAGCACTCTGGGAATTGCAAACACGTGAGGTACAAACTATAATGCCAAATTCTAACAAATAACAATCGAATCAAACTTAATAAATTTCGAACGAAATTCTTTGCGTATAACGTATTTACTGCTCTTGATGAAGTTTAATATATACGCCAATTAATTGCATATCGTATCGAGCTCTCTATACTCGTATATATATTATCCGTATATATATATATATATCCAAATAAAAAGTAAACAATTTGTTATACTTTGCGCTACATACATGCATACCTAATCCATATTTAACCGATATATACTATAACTAACTACTATAACTCGTATATAAAACTAGCTAATATGGTCTAGGACCATGGCATTCTTTAGCAACCTTTTGACATTATAGTTGACCACGTACTGGGTTCGATACCAAATCCAAATCCAAATCCAACGTATTCTCATGTAACAATAACGAAATCTATTTGAATTGGTCCAGTATTTAACGCTAACTAGCTATATTGATTTTCTCTATATATAAATATAACCGTAACCGTACTCGTACCATTATATCAATTATTATAACAAATTATCGAATTATAGCTATGCCTAGTTGATTACTTAACGTATATAAATAGTACATTTTATCTAGCATTTTGAAGTAGTAGAATTTACCATTTGTTGTTTTCACTAAGAAAAATTGGGTTGAGCCGCGATCGACTAGACTCTTCATATATATACAATATATATTGACAATAGCGCTAATTGGTAGCCCCAACCCGTACCCCCTCTAACCTCCCTAACAAACAAACGTTAGACGCCCATTGATGTTTAGTAAGTAAAATGGAACATTGATCTAAAATCGGAGAAACCCTAGGCTGCTGCTGCTGAGGACCTATAGAGCACACAAGAACAACCACAACAGATCAATTTCTATATATAAATATAGATATTTAAACCAAGAACACATCTCGATGGAGTTTTTATACCCTTCTGCTGGACAGGACCAGATCAGAGCAGATCAGATCAGATTGAATAGGATCAGGACCCTTGTACGCACCCCGTCGCGCTTTCCGCCCACCGACACCAACGCCACCACGCCGCCCACTCCACCCGCCCCTAGAATAACCCTACTTAAGTTTGCTTTCGTTCCTAGAAATTGATTTATTAAATACTACAAATACGAATTCACAGCTCATTAATCTAACGACCGATATAAATCCGGCTGCGAAAATAAACCTTCAAGTTGTGAGTAAATTGTATCTAAATCAAACCCCCAAAAACAACTGCAAATTCTAATTCTAAAGCAAAATGCAAAAACTAAAAAATCCCCCCAATATATTTTCACTTTTGATTGTCGCTCTGAGCCGCATGTCTGACTTGATCAAAATTTGTTTCTGCTTTTGATTTCCACCTGATTTCCTTCCAGCACCCCCACAAGTATTTCGAAATCTTTGTTTTCATTTTCGTTTCGATTTGTGTAATGCCTAATTCCGAGCCACCACCCCGAATCCATGGCCGCAATGCAATGCTTATGATTTCCTAGCCTGTCCGATCAGGAGCTTGGTACTAACCCCGAATGATTTAATTTTGCAATCCTAGTTTAAGACTCTCTCCGGCACCTTCTCTCTTACTCTCTCTGTAACTCTGTGTGTGTAAAGCTTCGCTGAATGGACACTCCAAAACTGCAATACTGCTCCAAAAAAATACTCAACGATCTGTGATCGAATCCTTTCGTCTGTTGCTCCTCTCTGTAACTCTTTCTCTCCCCTCACTCGCTGTGGCAAACAAGGATTCTGTGGATTCCCGGCCTCAAAAACAGAAACCCAATATATGCTTATGTGAAGGGTATAAAAACTGTACACTGTACACTCTTACACCGAGACACTAACAACGCAAACAGACACGCACAACTGTACTTTCTCCGTGGAGAATGGTCCCTCTACACGTGTAAAACAGCTTCTTTCACACGTTTTCTGTTGAAAATCTTAGTTTTTTGTACAGTTTTTAAAACGAGAAAATTGTACATTACGTTTCGTCTATTTCTATCGCTGATTTTCTGTCTTCCGATTCTAACATTTAAGTTAACTATTTTAGTTTTTGACACACACTGCCTACGTACTCATAAGCTCTTAGTACTACTCTGCTAGCCATGTAATTAGCCGCTAAAATACAGAAAAAACGCTTAAACTAAATTCTTTGTAAACATCAATACAAAAAAAGGCAAAAAAAAAAACTAACTAAAATTTAAATCTTTGAAATCGACTTTCTTGACTGTACTCGTAAGTTCTTGCGTAGTAAACGATGCTTCTCATATTTGCATTCGTCATTGTTTCCGTTTTGATTTCCATCTTTGAATTTTACTTTGAGATGCCCTACGGCGTTTTTTACTAGCAATGCCATTTATCGAATTCAAATTTCAAATTCATTTTTCAGTATTTGATTAACATGCAAACCAATTACCATTAACTATAAATTCTCTGTACTTGTAAACATTTAAAGTCCGACTTGTGTATATGTTTCGTTTCCACTCACTTGACCCCACTTGACCCTCTAAATATATCTCAAAACTTCTCCGCATGCACAGACAAGAATTGCCAACATCCTGGGCGTGGCCGGCACGGATGTGCCCATCAATGAAATTAAAAAGCTGCTGTCGCCGTTCACGGTAAGCTTAAATAGTATAAACTATATGCTTGAAACTTAAACTATGTCTTAATTAATGACTTATTCTTTAGCTTGGCGTGAATGGCTATGCGTTTATAGTAACCAACAACGGTTATATACTATTCCATCCAGACTTTCGTCCAATTGTAAGACATCTTGCTTAGTTCACTCGAAATGGGTTATTAATTTATAAAATAATTTCAGTTCCAAGGCTACATATTGAAGCCTTCGTACAATAGCGTTGACATGATTGAAGTCGAGCTGTTGGATGACGATCGACCCGCCAGAGACTTTAATCCAGTGCTGATGACGGTGGGAACTCTTAATTAATTAATTTTATCTGAACAAATAACTTATTTTTGTCATATTTATCTTAACAGATAAGAGATTCTATAATCAATCAATCAACAGGCAGCAAATGGATGTTGGTGAAGAATCATTTCGATGAAATGGTAAGTATTATTCCAATGCAATTTTTACAAAAAGAACCTAACAAAAGAAAGCTCCCAAATATTTAAGTCTAAAAATCAATAGGAATTTTAAACCGCTTAAAAATATATCTATAATGCAATTTTTTAACGATATATACTTATTTTGGTCTTCGTGAGATTATAAAAGCAATCAATGCCCATTTTATATCTTTATAATTATTAATTATAGAAACGGGTGACTCGCATAAAGCGCCAATATTACTGGACGGCCATCAAGAAGACACCTTTCACTCTGGTCATTTCCTATCCGGAGCAGTATGGTGTCAGTCGCTTGGACATTCGTACCGATCAGGAGATCCATCGCATGAATGTCGAGGGCACGAATTTGCGCAGCTTTTTTGCTGGCAAGAAATGGAAAATCCACCCAGATTGGTTAGTTATTCCAGCCATTATAAATGTCTACACATAACTCACGAGGTTTATGGCACTTTCCAGGCTATTCTGCAAGCACAGCAACAGGACATTCAAGACGCCAGAGATAGAACTCCTGTACTTTCTCGAGCGCATGTCTGAGCCTGGCTGGCGGTGGCCGGGAAGCCGGAGTGCTATGCCCCCAGAGCACGCTGCTGCCATGTTCTGTAAGTATCTAGGACCCCGACTATAGCCAGTCCCAAGCCAAACCTTTATTTTCGATACTCGATCGATCGCCTCGATAAGCAGCCGCTTTCCCAGACTCTGTTATGCGTTTTGTGTTCATTGTTCTTCCGTTTTTGTACGGCTAGAATTGCGAAAATTACGATTGCGATTTCAATGTTCATGCAAATTCACAGCTAACAACTCATCAACTGGCCGCTATCCATCAATCAATGAAAAAGAAAGCTACTATTGTGAGTAACGAAAGTCAAAAGTCATCACAGTCACAGTCATAGTTGTGTGCACCCCCCATAATATCCAAACGCACTTTCAGTAGCACTCACAGTTCTCCTCATTTCCAACCTCAGCACCTGCACCTTCAGGGGATATTAAGTAGTGTGAACCAAACTTAAATAAATTAGTTTCGAACATAAATTTACGTGGAAATGATCTGAATTTCTCCTAAGTAATATATTATACATCAAATTAAAATTTCCGTAGCCAGTGCGTTGTAAAATCTTCGAAATATCACTTCATTGAGAAAGCAGAAGGAGTGGAAATCGTATTTTTTATTTATTTATATTTTCCGAAAATCGTATTTCTGACGCGTGTAAACTATGATCGATATAACTGCTCTGGGAACTAATACCAAATGGATTGGGCCAGTTAAAATATTAATTGTAACCTTAAATTCCAAACATAAGTATGATTACCACGTAGCTTATTGACTTACTCCGTAGTTAGCTGAGGAATTTGCACACTTAAATCGTTGTTGCATGTCACGAAGGACTAATATGTCCCTCACATCAAGCCAAAAGTACTTTATTAAACCAACATAAAATGTTCTAAAGCAAGTTGTGCCACTGCGACCACTACTTGGTCATGTTCCACCACCAATTAGGCCCGATTTGACCGTGTTCTTTGGATTTCAGGCGATCGGCAGCTGATGCAGGCCCTCGTTTTTGATGCCCACGCCACCGACTGGTACGCCAATACCACCAGCTTCATGGAGGACAAGATCACGTAAGTGACGTTCGCGACTCGTTCGGGGATCTATAGCCATGCTAGGCTTGACTTGGCAGACACCTCCAGTACAGTCAACGCCATGGCAGCACATATTAACCATTTTTTATTTCTGTGTACGCCCTTCTTTTTCTCACTTTTATTTGCATTTTATACCGATTCTTTGTCGTCCTCCTGGTCGCTGTCGTTTAATGTCTTTCTCATATTGAATTTTTGCACCCACAACTCTACTCTACTATATACATGTCGAACTCTTAATATCTATTGACCTCTTGATACCACAAAACATAATGCCTCTTCATTATGAAATACCAAACCACTCACGAATCTAGCACAAGCGCATCAAGCCCAATAGCCGTTCTAATGGGTTTGTTGCCAAGGTAAAGAGAACAGTAAACTTCGAAACTCAATCCTGTTAACTAGTCTAAGTTTTTTTTCTTTCTTTTAAATAACATATCATATCGCCCTTGGTCTGGTAACATTTCTATCTGTTCTGTGCACAGGCACGAGTTCAAGCAGCGATTCGGAGTCACTGTCGCCTTCTTGGCCACCCACAGCGGCCTCACCCGCTGGCACGAGTTCCACTCGAACAACGCCGAAGAATCTGGGGCTGGGTAAGTCCTGAAAATTGCGGAAAATTAGTTACGGCAATGGTATATCTATATAAATATTGCAGCGAGACATTCAGCAAAAACAACACCCGGGCCATCGACGAGATTTGGTACAAGCGCGCCGTCGACCAGCATTTTGTGCGGGACGAAAGCTTCGTCTACTCGGTGCCCTTCGATGCGGGTGGTGAGTTGATATCAGATTTTAAGAACCGGATCTTAGATAATAAATATCACTTATATGATTCCCGCGGTGTAGCAGATACACAAGCAAATCAATTAAAGAGACGTTCTTAGGCAACCCAAATTAAAAATGTATTACATTTTTTTAACCTTTCCGTAACTCCATCTGCAGAGAGCAATTCGGAAATCCTGGTCACGGCCAGTCATGCCGTCTTTCACAGCGAAGGGGGCAAGTCGGCACCTGCTGCAGTTGTTGGCTTCCAGTTTCAGCACTCGGCACTCTACAAACTCTTCCACAACATCACCGGCAATGTGAGTAGTGCTATACCAAAGACATTATAATAACAAGATGCCTCCCGCGAGTTAATTTGAATTGGTTACACCCACTCCATTATTCCCAACTTTAATTCTTTACAGGCCTGTGCCGTGGATGACAAAGACTGCTACATACTGGACAACAATGGCTATGTGGTCATCTCCACCCGCGTCCACGAGACGGGAAGATTCTTCGGGGAGGTAAACGGAGCGATCATGAAGCGGCTGCTGGAGGAGAATGTGTACAGGAAGGTTGTTGTCTACGATTACCAGGCGGTTTGCTTCGAGTCCAAGAACGACAACAATGCCTCTAGCATGTTGCTTTCGGTATGAAGAATATGCTTTATATATGGGCAGTCGAACCTCTGTAACCATGGAGGATCGTCTTAACTTGAGCTCTAACTAATGATCCCTTTTTCAGCCGCTGTTCCATCTACTGCGCGTGGGCAAATGGCTGCTGCATACGGCGCTGTGGTATATTGTACAACTGTTGCAGTGGGCGCCGGGAGTGTCCAGCCACTATGCGGACATGTACGGCGACTCCAATGATACAGAGCCACCGCCGGCGCCGCCGCCGGAGCCGGAGCGCCATGCCCACGGCAATGGCAATGGGGGCCATGGGAAGAAAAACGACGATGATCACTGGCTGCGGTATCTGACACTCCACCGAACGCGGCTCAAGCCCTGCGATATGAAGCGTGAGCTGTACACGCTGTTTAACGAGAAGGACAACGTTGTCTACAATATGACAGCCCATGCATGTGAGCGGCCATTTGTCGTCCTGCCCATTCCGCTGAGTAACCTCATTCTGCTGGTCATCGACCAGATGTGTCCGCGGGACGCCACGCTCGTCCTGACAGTCAATCCGCAGCATATCGACTACCACTTGTCGATCAACGACTCGCTGGCTTGCTTCAAGCAGGCCCGGGAGTTCAATCGCGTGCGACCCCAGAGCTGCATCAGTCGGCATGCGAACGTAAGTCCTTTGGCTTTCTTGTGGCAAGGAGTGGGCTAGCTGGCAATCAGGGGTATATAATAGAAAGGCTAATTCCAGTTCGGAAGTAATTTAATGACGAGCTCAGCTAGCCCTTTCCTCCTCCCATTTCCTATCTGAACAGAATCTAATATATTTTATTCCTTTCAATTTCGTTTGCCATCTCCAGGAGAGCAGCATCAAGCTGTGCGGCAAGGCCTGCTCCGTATACGCGAATCTGGGGCTCCTGCTCCTCTGCCACATACTGAGTCGCTGGCTGTAACGGCGGCCCACAATGGGATTAGCTTAGATCTAGGCAATATATGTTTTTGTATTATATACGGAAGGGCCATCCGAGGGAGATGGAAATTTTTTACTCTAACGCTTGAGCGCAGTTCAATATTTTTCGGTCACCTAGAGAAACTTTTCCAAATTAGACCTTAAGTAGCTAAATACAAGTATCCGTTTCGACCTCTGCGTTTGCTGTTGAAAGCGGAACGACACAGTGAACACGGACAGTGTGCGCCGGCGGGCTGGGCTTATGGTAGACCTTCCAATAGACAGGACAGAATATATATATTATATATGTATTTATTGTGTACATGAAACTGAAACAAAAATTCCAACAACGGCCTTAAACGACTCGCAACCAGATCTGATAAGCTGAAATAAGCCCAGAGCCCAGCGAGGTGACTAAAGTTATGGCACACACTGTACCACCATAAATGCCGACTACTGCCCATGGTTAAGTGTGCCTGTGTGATAGTATGCGCGAGTGTGTGTGCGCGTGAATGTGTGCAGGTGTGAGGTGTGGGGTGTGCATGTTAATCCTAATCTAAGATGGCCACATTTGTAAGTAACACTTAGCTACGAGTTTATGTTTAAAGAACGGATCAAGGAAACCTATCGGTGGTGTAAAGGCGATGAATTAATAATGGAACCATTTAATTATATATATACACACACAAACACACATTATATACGATATATACATACATACCTACGAGTACTACGCCCAGTACCAACAAACCATACATGCTAGCTAATTTAAGTAGCTTTTGTATATTTGCTTAGCTTAGCCCGGCGAAAAACCGAACCGAAACTAACCGAAACAGAAAAGATTAGCCTTGGAGAAAACTACATACTTTTATAGACAAATTCGTTAAAGGATGGGAAACCACTAAGACAGAAACGGAAACCAAATCTAAACGCATTGTTTTTTATATACATACACTGATGATGACGATACCTAGCATTACCCACAAGTACCTACATATTTGAGAAGAAACTACAAAAACCAAAAAGACAAAGAAAAGAAAAGCAAAAATGATAAATCAACTTTTTATTACTAAAAATACTACTTGATACGAGCCACAGAACTGAGCCGAGAACGGAGACGATTGAGTAACAAAAACAAGCAAGTAAACAGCATCTAGTGACTAAATTATTATTAATACTACAATTAAACATTGACTAGTTGAAATTTATACCAAGACAAACTCGAACGACATCTTAAAGGCAAAACTCTCAGCCGAGGGATAGAGAGGATCTCTGGAGCAGAACTTGCTAAGCTTTAGCCCCCTATGTCGCCCATGGTAGTGTAATCAACTTGTGCCATTCGAACTGCCTAGAATTTGTTATTAACTATTTAATACTAAAACTCATTACGCGTTTTTAGATGCGACTAACCACTGAACTCTGTTAATCCTCTCGCAGGTTGTTTCCATTCCTTATTCATTTTGTATATTCAGATTGACGATGATATATAGGGTAACGAACGATAGCGAATATCAAACTTATACCAAGCCTGCGCCTGCATGCCTCTACACCGATCTCAATACTCAAATTTAAACTGCAACTCTCCTCACGAACGAAATGAAACAAAATCTAAACGAAAATAAAGGGAAATACAAATACAAAATACACACTCGCTGACAGCCACAATTGTACTACATTACATAAACATATTTCAAATTCAATCAAATACAAGTAAAAACCATTTGTCTAATGTGCTAAAAGAAGAAACTGATAATAAACACAAAATAATTTCGAAAATCCAACCAAATGTTTTTGTCTTCTGGTGGGAAGGCAGAGTGGTACATGGTATCGATATACATATAATATGATATTTCACGTAGCTTATGGTATTATGGCCCTGGTGGCCTGAGATATCCGTGTTTCCTTTAAATAAATCTGCTAAATTCTGATTGATATGAAGCAAAAGTACAAGAAATACCTAGCATGGTTCTACGGTTAGTTAAAGAAGGTGCGTTAATTAGTAGGTGTCTACAAGAATACGAAGGTAACCTGCATCCCAGTTTAAAAAGAAAAGATTGCTTTTTTGAACCAATTCTTTAAGTAGGACTCCAAACGCAATATCCTTATAATATGGATTAGTATGACGAACTAAATAAGTACATTTATAGAAACTTTTTAACATATGGGTAATTGAATTTCTTCGACCATCGTTTGATAAATCCAAACAAAGTTTTATTCACCATGCATGGTATATGATCGATAAAGTCAAGTTTAGCATCCAGGCGTGCGCCTTAGTCATCAACTATTGTAATTCTTTTTTAAGAGCAGGAGTACAAAAGATTTTAAGTCGCAAGCTTGAAAACGTTTCGAAAAAATGTCACTAAGTTGCAGAAAGTCTTCCGACTTTTTCACTACTATACATATATGTATATATGGGCATTTCCAGGATGCGGTGCATATATACGGCATACTAGCATTTAAAAAAAATTCACGATTAATGCATTTTATCAGTACTATTATATTATTGGGTGTACAAGTAGAAAACCGCCGTTTTCGACCTGGTTGGTGCCACCTTCACCAAACGGTGAGAAATTTTGATTGGGAACGCCAAGTGGTGAGCTAAAATATCGGTCAACAACTCTACATTGTCTCGTTCGTGTATTCTTATTGTCTATCATTTTGGAGATTTTGCTTTTCGCGTTCAATTCGAAAAAATCGGCAGCTGAAGCGCGTCGAATGATTGTAGAAACTTATGGTGAATCGTGTATAAGTGAAAGAACGTGTCTAGAAGTTTAAAAATGGCGAGTATGACGTGGAAGACAAGGATCGACCGGGTCCTGTGAAAAAGTTTGAAGACGCGGATTTGGAGTCTCTGCTGGATGAAGATTCTTGTCAGATACAACAAGAACTCGCGGTTTCCTTTGGTGTGACTCAGCAATTAATTTCCCTTCACCTAAAAAGCTTGGGAATAAAATTATGAAAAAAACGGCGGTTTTCTACTTGTATTGTGTTATAACGGTACTCTTTTTCCAGTAGGTTTTTTGTTCCAGTATTTGAATGACATTTTATTAAACCATAACATCAACACTTATAATTATAGTACAAATAAAAAAATGTTATGTTATGTTATACATATATGTTTTTAATTAAAAATTATTACAGTTACCAACAATTTGTATATCCTTGAATGGTATTATAATTTCAGTCAGAAGTTTGCAACGCAGTGAAGGAGACATCTAGAGTCCGTCTGTCCGTTTCTACGCAAACTAGTCCCTCAGTTTCAAAGATATCTGAATGAAACTTTGCATATAGTCTTCTATATACTCTCACTGCTATACATATATGTCGGAACGGGTCGGATCGAACGACTATATCATATATCTGCCATAAAATTTATCGACCAAATTTTTTGAAAAAAAAAAAAAAAAAAATTATAATTTAGTTGTTTTTCATCGTATTTTTATTTCGTGTTTGAGATATTCCCATATTCAGTAGATGTACCGAAAAATGGAAAGCTGAGAGTGTAAAACTGTAACTCTCAAACTGTAAAATGTAATAAAAACGTTTGTTTTATGTGTGTTTTCAGCATTTAAATTTATAATGTTTATGATATCGTTAAAAACACTCTTTATCCGGTCAGAGGTAAGGATATAGATTTATAATGGCAGATATTTCCCATTCTTAATAATAAATAAATATTAGATATTAAAATCTAAAATATAGTTTTTTTATGCGATTAAACTTTCTTCTTCTTTATTTTATCAAAACCTAATGGTTATATACTATGTATAAATATACAACTTTTATATATTTCCTTTTGTTTTTTTCTATTAATTTGACCAGAATGGATTTATTCTTAATGATCCAATTGCAAAGTGCAAGGGTATACAAACTTCGGCGTGCCGTTATGGATATGGGTTTTTTTTTTTTAATTTGTTTCATTAAAATAATCCCTGGCGCTTCGGTGAAATCAGTGTATAAACAGCTCTTCGCGGAAGTGACTTCGGTTTTCTAAAATTATTAATTCGGGCAAATGCTCAAAATCAACGCTTGCAAATATTTAGCAAGAGCTATAAGCTAACATTGTCCCCAGCGTTATTATGAAAAACCAATATGCTCGTTGTTAATTCAAATTAATACTTTTTTGGATTCTGATCGATTTAAAATCCAATCCCCGATCCAATTGCAAACAAGGGCTTACCGTTAAATTTGATATATTATATATATTTAAAGAAGAGAGCGAGCGTTTTTTTATTCTTGCCTTTTCAGTACGTTGCAACCTAATAACAATAAATAAAAAGACAATGTTTCTTTTGACATAATATTTATGCTTAACAATTTATTTTAACACAAGTTTATAGTATTTTACACAACTTTCATCGTAAGTATTACAAAATGCCTTACATTTATAATTAAAATCTAATTTAGCTAAATGACGAGTTTTGTTTTCTCTTTTGTCCAAGTTTTCGTTTTTCTGTTATTGTGTTTTCTTTTCAGTAGTTGCCAGTTTGGGGAAACATAAATTGGAAATCCGCTTTTATGCCTCATTCTTTAGCTCGTTCATATGTATGTGTGGTTCTACATAATTATATATCATATGTATAGCAGTGACATCTATATAATTAGCATATCCTGTAAGCCTATGCTGCATGCAAACCAAATTGTTAACGTATTTTACAAGACGCAAGATGTAAAAAAATAAAAAGATTAAGATAGATTAGAATATAAATGAAGTCTCTCTCTGTTCTTAAAAATCTCAATTCACAAAAGTAAACATCAGGAATTATCGATCGATATGACAAAATCATAAAGAATGCCCTTTTTTAGAAAATAGTTGGGCCTCCGCTTAGGTTGAGTAGTCGACGGCTCCGCTGCCATTCTGTTGCATACGAACCGATCGACGTCGTGTCAGGATGCGAGCCGGTGTTGCTGGCGCTGCTGCATCGGTGACGTCAGCTGGTACTCCTACCACTCCCACAACCGTTCCGGATTCTCCACTAGTTGTTCCCGCAGGGGCCGCTTCCTCGCTGGTCATAGCCGTCGTCCCCGAATTGTCCAGAATCAATGGGACAGCTACCGCCGATGTAACTGCGGCCGTCACTGGCTGATGCTCTTCCTCCAGCTGGGAGTTGCGTCGCGTGGCTAGGCCTCGTAGCTTGGACTTTTTGGGCGGCAGAGTTCGTGGAGCGGTCACTTCCCTTATGGGCGCTGGTTCCTCAACACTATAGGCCACTGCGACTGGCACCAAAGGTGCTGGCGCAGGCTCCTCCTCATAATTCCGTTTGCGTGCCAATCGCGCTGCATTTCCGTTGCCATTGCTTCCCTCATCCGCTGTTGACGCATGTTCTCCGCTCACGTTCTGTTCATTGTTGGTGCTGCTGGAACCATTATAAATGTCTGAATTCAAAGGTTTGCTCGCCAGACAGGCGTTCTCATCGATTGTCTCCAGGGTGGTGGGTATCGTCTTGTTGCCGCTTCCATTGGTTGCCGCCATTGTAACAACCTCGTCCTTGGTGCTTTGTGCCTGCTTAAGCTGAGAGTTTTCCTTCTCGAGAGCCTGGATGCGATCACGTGTGGTTTTCAATTCTTGCTGCAGGAACAGAATGGTGCTTTGCATGCCCTCTACATCCTCGTCAAGTTCCTGTAGGAAGTCATCGAGCTCTGCAAGTTGAAAAGGTGTATTTAAATGGAATCCCTTAAAGCTTGAAGCTAATGAGTTTAACATACCCGACTGCGACTTCTTGACCTCCTCGCTGAAGCTTTTCTGCATGGCCAACTCCGTTTCCAGCTTGGCCAGCCTGCCATTTGAGGTCATCTTGCCCAGCTCCTCGTTTTCCTGGTACAGCAGCCGGCACTTGGCCATTAGCCGCTTGCCGGTGTTAGAGTCCGGTGTAAATTTCCAGGCGGACAGCTCATTTTGGGTCTCCTCCAGCTTGGCTTTGGTGGCCTTCAGTTCCTTCTTTAGGCGCTCAAACAGGAGATTAACCGCTGGGTCAAGAAGGGCTGTGCGCAAGGCCAAAGCAGTAGGGGCCTGCTGGGCCTTGTACTCGGCAATTTGGCTCTAAAAGCGGATGGGAAATCATTAATCTTCAGGGAACTGTGTGCAAGAATGGAGTAATGTACCACATAGTCCTGGAATTCCTGCTCCTTGTTTGCCAGCCGCCGCATGAGGATCTTCTCGCGGCGCAGAGCATCGGCACACTGCTGACCCATGCGGACATGATCCAGCTTGAGATTCTCGATCTCATCTGTGAAGCGAAGAGGAAGAGAAGTGTTAGTTTAGTTAGGTTTTCTCAAATGAGCGATCTATCTTCCACTCAGTTTTCGTTTGTTTTTCTTTTTTCACGACATTTATTATTTATTTATATTACAAGTTCGTTAAATTGGCAAATTGTGTGTTTTTTTTTAAGGTGGAACTTAATACGAAATCATACCAATGCTTTGCAATCATTCGTGTAAGTTCGTGACATGGTCGGTGGCAAACGCTGCTGCTGCTTCCTCCCGTCGTCAATCTCTGGCCGATTCTGATTTTGATTCTGATTCGATGCTTCGTTGGTCACGGGGGGCGGCATTGGCAACGACATTACAACAACCACTACTTGAACTTGGACACGATTTCTTCATTGGCTTCGACAACTTCAACGACAACTCTGGCACTTCTTGAACCACAACACCCGCACCTGCACCTGCACCACCTGCACCTGCTATCCCGTACTGTTGAAGGCTGGGGATGCTTTGGGGGGGATGCGTTTTCATTTTGATTTCTTGCATATGCAGCAATTGCATTTGCATTGGCATTGACATTGAACTGAATAGCATTGCGTTTGATAATTCCATTTCGATTTCGATTAAATGCTGATTTAAATTGAATTTTCCCGGCATTTTTGCTACGCTTTTTGCTTTTGCTTTGCTTTTTGCTTGCACTGTGGGGAAAACAACGAGACAACGACAAACTGGTGATTTTTGTGGCAAAAACTGAAAATATATTTTTGAAAAACACTTGCAAAAAACTCGACGCACACACTGCTGCTGGGAACTCGATTCGACTCGACTCGAAAAAGCTGGCGCTGGGAGAACTTTTTAAAAGCTCTTCTTTTCCCCTGCTCGCTATTATATACATTTACATTTAGCTTTAGCTTTTTGGCATTTTTAGCATTTTCGAACACTCTTTTGTCATACAAAAAGTTTATTGACTTTTATTTGTTGCATTTTTATGACTTTTTTATGGCTTTTTGCCTTTTGCTTTTTCTTTCGTCGTTGTGCAAACACGTATTTTGATTTGAACGAGTAAATAATTATTTATGTATGCAATGGCTTTTTGTTTGGCCGAAACAAACAAATGTGCGTGTGTGAGTGTGAGTGCTCCACATTACATGTTAATTGATAAATTAGAGACCCATTAAACGTCCATTAATCAATTGAAAGGCATTTTACCCAACTTTTAAGGACTGTTAAATAATCGCACTTTTTGGTGCTTGGCTTATCTTATCACACTCCCAATCCCACACACACATTTATCAGCTTTTGGCGCCTTTTTATATATATTTTTAAATATTTTTGTTTGTTTAGCTTGGAAACACACTGCAAAGTTCTTTCACTTTTTCACTTGCATTTGGAACTGAAAAATAATTTCGAATTATTTTCTCTCTTCGGTTATACACACTGGCACTTGTTATAAACTTTCTTTTGCTTATTTATTATTTTTCTGGATTTTATTGTTGACGTCGACGCAAAAGCAAGAGAGAAAATGGTAGACAGAGAGGGAGAAAAATAGAGGGGGCAAAGGGAAAAATTACGTGGGGGACAGGCTTTGGGGCAGAGACACGTTGGCTCTCCGCTTCTCTAATTCTCCTCTCTCCTACCTCTTCTTCTTCTTCTGGCACGTAAGCAAAACGAAAAGTGGTCGCAAAACGAAAACTGTACACAGCGCAGAAGACAACGACGACGACGGAAAGACGGCGAAGATATTTGAAACCTTAACATTGATATTTTTCTTATTTTAGTAAATTATGATTTGGCTATTTTTTAATATATTTTTTTCATATTATGTTTTTTTGTTATATTATCAGATATCTGAACTTCTTAGCTTGGGAAGGTTTGCTTTGGAAAGATTTCTTACAGGTATTATTGGATATATTAACTGATTATTTGTTGCTGTTAGCTTTGTTTTATATATAATTTAATATAATTTTAGATTGTTCATTTTGCACAACACTGCACACACTTCTTTATGGCTTTTAGATTATTTATTTTTTAAAGTTCTTTTTTTGATTTCATATTTCATTTATTCATAATGATTTAATACTTTTTTGAGGTGTCTATTTGCAGCACGTTCACACATTCATTAATATAAGGATAGGGTTAGAAAAAAAATAACTTAAAATACAACTAAAAAACGCCGCTAAATGTTCGTTAAAAAGAGTGTTCGCTTCGATTCGATTTGATCGGATTCACACACGTGTGGAGTTCTTTACCGAGTGTTTTTCATAAACAATTTTCAATTGCACAGCAGAATCCCAAGGTGTTTGTTATGTTTTGATTTTGACAGTGAATAAACGAAAGCAACTAGGGGAGTAGTTTTTAAATATTATACAATTTATACACAACAGAGTTTCGAGAAACACACTTTCGTTTGGTTTGGTATCTGGTTATTGCATGTATGTAGTATATAGGGGGAGTATACAGATCAGATGATCTCTGCGATCACTGATAGCTGTTTTTGTGTACCAAAATATGCATAATACCTTCGAGCAAGCGTTGGCGTTGTTCGGCGGCTGCAACAGCCTCTGCAACAGCTGCATGTTGCTGCTGCTGTTGTTGCTGCTGCTGCTGTTGTTGTTGCTGCTGCTGTTGCTGCTGCTGCTGATCCTGGCTTTGATTGTGATGGTGATGATGATGCGGATGATGGTGGTGATGATGGTGCTGCTGCTGCTGCGACGACTCCTCTGGACCGGAGGGCGTGGGGGAGGCGGGACCCGAGCTGGCCACGCCACCAACAACGCCACCGCCTACGCCGCTTTGGCTATTATTAAGGATATTCAGATTTTGCTCGTATTTGGTCGGGGGCATTTTATCGTAACTGTTCATCAAGGGTCTTTGATCGTCCATAGTCATTGCAGCGACACTCATAACTCGGTTTAAAACGCTCCCTTTCTAGTAGCTGCTGTTGAAGCTGCTGCTGTTGTTGTTCTTGGTCCTTTGCTGGCGTTGTTACTGTTGTTTTTCATGTGGGCTGAGAAAAATACACTCGCTCTCGCTTGCACACAATCACTCGCTCTCTCTCGCTCACAGGCACCCGCTGCCCGCTGTGCGCGCGCTCTCACCAATACTAGAACGCTCACACACACAAGCACTCTCTCCAATGGCGACGCGATGGGTACAATTTTTGCAAACGCTGATTTCCCGTACTTTGCGCGCTAGCTTAAAGCTAAATTAATGATTTATCGCTGGATTGTTCATTGATTTACACTTTTCCAATAATTTCAGGCGGTTGCTGGCACTCTTACGGCGTTATTTCTCTATTTTTCACTGCTGCGATGCAGCCGAACTGAAATTTCACGTTTGGTGCTGCTAACTTTTCTGCAGAAACCAATATGGCGACTTGGTCGGGCCGTGCGCTGCCGAAAATCCCGAAAAACTAGTGTTTTAAAGCGCCGATAAATAATTTTAATTTTAAATAATTCGGGACTACTTTAAATTGTGTCAGGTTGCTTACGGAAAATACGGAATAGTCTTATCTACTTTTATAATTGTTCATTGATATGGCATATATTTGCAAAATCATTTTAAGAATAGTATTTATACAATGAAACGGTTAAAAATGTGTATTTTAATGATATTACACATTTTTAATATAATTGTAAAAAATTTATTTTAATTTAAACTTAAAAATTGTTAAAAATGAAAAATGCTCTTTTCTTGGTCTAATTCAACTCTCGAGGGCAGGTAACACTGGCAATTGTTATTGTTTTGGAAACATGGCCGAATCGCATCTTCAGGTAAAATTGGAGCAGCAAAACATCAAGGAACGTCTAAATCTGCATGTCAAGCGACGGCTGCAACAGGATTCAGAGGCTCCCATTGAAAGTCCGGAACTATTGCCCGGAGATCCAAGCATGGCCACTAGTTCGAAGCGCAGCAAGGGAAAAGAGGTTCCAAAACAACGAAAGCCATATCAAAAACGGACGGAAAAGGCCAAGACGGAGACTGCTAAGTTCAAGAAGAGTAATGAATTGATCGAATATAATAGGATTACTTCTATATACATGTATTTATTTCAGCTGGACAACTTGGCAGTCCCGCGGCTGAGATTGAGCCCTTGGACGACCAGGACCCGGACGGCTGTTCTCCAGAGGCCCCGGATATGAAATCCTCAAGCAGGGATCGCTTCAAAAACGCCGATATACTCAATATGGTGTTGAGCGTTAAAAAAAGGGCTCTGATGCAGGACCCCGAGGTTCAGGCATTTTGGTCCCAAATAATGACGGCTATAAAGAGTTGATGCTGTTTTTTGACTAGGTTAAATTAGGTTTTATGTTGGTTAATAAAAAGGTATTACTAATATCTTCACTTGATTATATTTATTGATGATTTTTTACCGAATCTAGGCTAGACGATTGAATAGATATAAAACAAAACTACATATAGGGAACTTATTTTAATGAACATTTCCCGGGAAATGTACTATTAATAATATTATTATAAATATTGAATCTAATTTGATTGAGTATTAAAAAACTGATTTATTCGTACCATTATTTAAAGAAGCTTCTTGCTTATTTTCATGGAGAGCAGACTTTTAATATAAATCTTTAAAGATCTTTCGAATATATTGGTTCCAAAAGTTGTATTCTTTTTCTAAATATTTACATATGCAATTCAGCATAAATTAAATTTTAAATTTAAAGAATTTATGGTTTAAAAGTGTGAAAATTGCGAAGAAATTGACGCCGATAGCAGAACCACTCTAGACCGGTTAGTTTTCAAAAATGTCTGGAATGGCTCCGGTCACCAGTGCGCAGTCTCGCGACAGCTGAGGGACCAGTGTTGCGTTTTCAGCATTTGCAACTCTTAACAATTTGTTAGCTATTTAAAGCACTTTTAAACTCTTATTTTTTTTAATTAAATTTCAACCCGACTTCTCGATCCATAGAGTAAAGTAGATTTTTATCTCTGAGATATGATATGTTAACGAAAAGGCCAGGTAAACTTTTTTTTTTATTCTATTCCATTCCAATTATTTGTTATATTTTTCTATAGTCCGATATATAGTCGTCCGATTCGTTCTGACCTTTTTAATAATGAGAATAATAAAAAGACTCTGCAAAACTTTATGCAGATAGCTCTAGGGACTAGTAGACTACTCCGTTCAATTAATATAGTCTATGTAGTAATAAATATGAAGTTTCTTTTTTTTTTATCTAATTAAAAACGTGCTTTAAGAAGCGGAGCTGGAAAACAAATTTGTAATTTGTCCTAATCCCCAAATTGTCTAATCCAGATTCCTACCATCACAAATATTTGGCTTTTATAGCTGTTTTCAAATGCTAGGCTAGCTTAGCTGAGCTGCACTGCGGACTCGGATTCGGATTCGCGGAGCAGAAAGAATTTCAACGTGTTTGGGGTTGCATCGCGCCGCGTGACCGCATCAGAGTCCAGCAAAAGGGAAATCCTTGCCATAGAACCGATCACTGTGTCCAAATTCGGTTGTGTGACGATTAAACAAAAAGGTAGACGCCAAATGAAATCGAGAGGAAGTGATTAAAAATCGCGATTCTGGGCACATCGGGCAATTAAGCCGTATTAGATAATCCCGCTTTTGTGGCGCGAGTCGGTATCGATTCAACTTTTTTCGCTTGGGTTTCTCGAAAGGGCGCTCTCTCTCTCTTTCTCTCACTCTCTGTCCCTGCTTCCCACCCCCTCTGTCACTCACTCTTTCTGCTACTCATTCTCTTCATTTCTCTGGCTAATTTCTCCCAGTTTCTCTCAGTCGCTTTGACTTTGTGCTTCGTCCTTGCGAGAGAATTTGCACTGAAATCGCACCCACCGCTGCCGCGGCCACCCCCGTCAGAACCCCGTAGAGCCCCCCACACAACCCCTTTTCGGTGAGCCCTTTGCATCCGCTTTCTTTTCGCTTTCAACTGTTTCGGGGTCTTTTCATTTTCACAGTTTGGTGTCATCAGCTTGAAATAGTTCGAGAGCCAGGCAAATACCGCAGTCCAACAGCTCCACTCTTACGTAAAAAATTAAAAGAAAATCCTTTCAAAAAGAAGACTATTATTTAAAGAGCTGAAAACTCAGAAAAGGAACTTACCGACGTGGGGAAGGGGTCTTGTATTATATAATAGCAAAAGTAAAAGTGAAAAGTGACTTCAAAACAACGGAGAAGCAGAGTGCATAAGTGATTATCAAACAACTTGGTCAGTGAAAGGACTTTATAGGAATAACGCCGAAGATAATATATTATTATTAACTGCCTATTAACGGATATATATAACCAGTAAAGACCTTAACCTTCAACATTTGAAGCTTATCAAATAGCAATGTAAAAGCTAAGCCCACAAAAGACCCAAACGGGAATCCTTTAATCCTCGAGGTCTTCTGTTGTGCTGCATTACACAACGAAAATGCAGACCCAACCCCATGATAAGTTACCTGTTCTGCCACCTGAGCGACTTTTTCATGCCACTTGCTCTACTCATTTTTTGTTCGTTCCCTCGCCTGTTCGTTCTTTCTTTTTTTTAATGGCTAAATCGATATGCCTGCCAGTTTCGTGTTTCTGCCAATTGTCTGACTATTACATAATAACAAAGGAAAAGCGCCTAAAGAAAAGCCCCTGACAGGAAAATAACTGGCAGCGTTTCCCGCAGGAAATACCAAAAGACGGCGACAGTTGATAACAAAAAAAAGAAGCGACTAAGGGAAAAGTGGGAGGCACTGAACTAGGTCAGTTATTGAATTTCCCCAGTGGGAGTTACTGCAGAAATGAGACAGAGTGTTGCATGCCTGGCAACATGCAACTACTGCACATCAGATATTTATGGGGGAATCACATAAAATAGTGCCACTCAATCAAGTTACCATTCAGATTTCCCATTTCCCCTCCTAAATATACATACATTTATATGTACACATATATAACCTGTCAATTTAAACTCTTCCGTTACGCCTGTCAGTGCTGGCCAACAAAAACAGCAACGTTGTGATTGAGTGAGTGGCCAACATGACAACGGCCCCTTGACTACAATATTGATTGGCTTTTCATTCGCCAGTTCCAGCCATCTTACGTATGTAGAAGTATGGACACACACAGGCATGCCCACTGTGTTTGTGCCAGAAACCCAAATTTGCTGGGTAGAACGGGGCGTATGCGTAATATTTCTTACTCGGATCTGTCTTCCATAGACTGCTTCCAACTGCAGTCAGTGCTCTAGAATCGAGCATTTGCTGGGCCTCCAGTGCATTGCACTCCGGCCGATTACGTGCTCTATTACAGGGATCAGCGGGGTCCGGTTTCTTGTGGTAAGCCGTAAATGGCCGAAGGAACGCCGGGTGGTCCCGGAAATGGGCTGACAATGCAATTACTTCAGTGGCCAGGAAATTACGTATTTAAATCCTTATAAAGGGTTGTTATTTGTATGTTTTAGCCAATGAAGAGAAAAATAATGGATTATTCAAGTATATTTTAAATTGATTTTGTAGGGATAAATCAAAAATATTTCGATTGGAGTGCTACTAAGAAGATTTATTATGCTAAAAACGACATCTAACTTGAATCAAGTATTTCAAAGCATTTTTAAAATTATTTGCCTTGTGTTAATTTGTAAAAGTTGGAAACAAATGTAGAATATATTCAAAAGATATATGAATTCCCAAATAAGATATAACTTACAAAGCAAATTGTACTGCCTCCACACCCACAATTTGTACAAGAAAGAATGAAGATTTTGTTTTTATTTTTCTCATATCTAACCACTTTTAAATTGGTCATTCACGTACAAATGCAATGTCGATATGTGCGGACCTTAAGGATTATGTAGTTACCCTAAAAGTCCGATCCCTACAATGAATTTTCATTGCATATTTTTCCAAATGTATTTAATACATTTTAAAGCCAAAGCAGTTTATAAGCTTTTATGTTTTTCTTAAATGATTTAAATTGTCTTTGGGAATGATTAAAGCTTTAATCTGATCCTAATTTGATTTTCGTAGGCCAGCTTAATGCAATTTAATTAGGTTCGCTAGGAAATCGCAAAATCCCGAGCAAAGACCAGCGGAGCCACTTCTGCACGACACGAGTGGAGAATAAATTGAAATCGGCGGCCTATCAAGCCATTTGGCCGCAAATCGCAAACGATGACAAAACTATTAAAAGCTCAGGGAGGCAATACGAGAACGGGGCAGGTGGTTTTCTAACGGGGACATTGGTTATTTGTTACCTAGCTACCGAGAACCGTTAGCAATTACGTTCCACCCACAACACCCGCGCGCTCGCTGGGAAAATCAATCGCCTGGACGGCTCATACAGAAGGGGGCGGTGGCGTGAGGGACGTTTGAGCAATCATTGCAATCCAATTAAATGGCCAGTCGAACGCAAGTAGAGGAATCTTACAAAAAAGTGCACAAAACTTTATGGAAAAACAACAACAACAACAACGAGGTTCTGCATTCGAATGTGTTCCACACGGGCTCCCACTTGCATTCCACAAGCCAAACTAATTGGGTCGCTAGATGGCGCGCGTCATCATCTCGGCAGAGAGAGAGAAAGAGAGCGACCTCTAGCGGCAATTGCAATGCGCATTCGCCATTCCCCCCTTCCCACCCACTTCCGCCCCAACCAACTGCACTCGTCTTGTTTTTGTTTCCTGCACTTTCCTATTTGCGTCCCACTTTGTGCCTCTCCTCTTCGTCGCCGTCATTCTCCGTTCCCTTTTAGTTTTGAGTTTATTTTTGCCAAGGCGCTTTTCACTTTCCATTGCAGTCAGTCCGACAGTGAGTCGGGTTATGTGAATATTTCGCAAATAGCAAATTGTTTTCGGGTTGTTTTTGTTGGTAAAAGTCTCTAAACCTTTTTCGCCGTCTTCCTTTTGTCGCTTTTAGGCTAACATGCTAATGTAGCAAATCGCAAGAGCCACGAAAATTGTCAAACGAAAGCGAAACTCGAACAGCCAGCAAACAAATTGTTGCTCCAGCCGCAGCCGCCGCAGAGGAAAGACGAGACGAAGCGTGGTGTGGATATATCCATAAAAAAGGCAGATAAATAATTAATTTCAATAAACCCAAATACATACAAAATGTCGCCACTCATGGAGAAGACGCTGCTGTTGTTAGGCATGCTTTGTTGCATACAAGGTAAGCTAAGCCCCAAAGTTTATGCAATGCAAAATAAAACACAACCACATATGCACACACGTGCGCACACATACATATATTGTATTACGTAGATCGGAGAAAGTGCTCTTAAAAATGCACTCTTGTCCGTTTTCATTTGTCTATATCTATTTTGAGGACTTCTTTTCCCCAAACAGTATCAAAAACAAATATATTTTTAATTAAATATAAACGTCCGCTTAAACATTTTAATTTAAATTTAATATCTTCTGAATATCATCTTTTCCATAAAAAAAAAGTAATAAACGATTTGAATGCATCCTATAATACCATTAACTTTACGTTTTTACGACCCAAAGACGCCTTATTATCAATCAGCATTTCTATTTAATGATGTTATAGATTTCCATTGCCCATAAAAGTATACAGGATACATAAAAGGTTTATTTTATTATACCAATATCCGTTATTTTATTAGTATTATTATTTTTTTGTATATCGAGAATAAAGTATATATGCATCAATACTCTTACAATAGAACTCATTATAGACAAATGAAAAGAACAAATGTGACGAGATTTAATCTCCTTTTAAAGATTTTTTTGATATAGTTTAATTTCTGCAAGCGTTACGTTAGTTGTCAGTTAAAAACTTTATTAACAAGTCTTCATTAATAAGACTTTATGCATATGAATTAATAATATATAATACCACTTTCCCTTATATTATAGTAACCACTGCCCTTATGTGCTATGACTGCAACAGTGAGTTCGATCCTCGTTGCGGCGATCCCTTCGAGCCGTACTCCATTGGCGAGGTGAACTGCAGCAAACAGGAGCCTCTGGAGCACCTCAAAGATAAGTACAAGCCCACCCTGTGCCGCAAAACCGTGCAGAAAAGTGAGTAGGAGAAGTTAATCCCAAAAAGCTCTCATTAATCTGATATATATAATAGTTTACGGAAAGACCCGCATCGTACGTGGCTGCGGATATATACCGGACGAGCGCACCGATGCCGAGTGCGTGAAGCGCTCGGGAACCCACGACGTGGCCGCCATCTACTGCTCCTGCACCAAGGATCTGTGCAACGGCGCCAACTCGCCGATCTCCCAGTGGATGATGCTGCCCGTTGTCTTTGCCGCCGGACTGGCGATTCTGTTGAACTCGAGGCACACAATACGATTCCAGAGCTCGTAAATTGAGCTACTCCTAGCATTTCACAGAGTTAATTTACCGTACTTATTGTTTTCGAGATTGTTTACAATGGTTTTCCGATTCAGATCTGCAGTTGATGCTCATTTAGTTGCATAATTTACTTTAATATTTAGTTTAATGTGTTCGTAAGCGTAAACATAATGAGAATAATGTGCAAGTCAACACACATAATAAGAAACCACTTTGGGGGCAGTAATAAATCAACAAATTTTCAAGCTTGGTTTGAACAACTTTTTCAGAATACAAACAAACTGCCAGTATATGTCTCCGCCTGAAAAAATAAATGTTTCGATCTTAAAACCCTAAAGATGTTATGTAATTCTCGCAGGAGATGAGCGATGTTTCTATATTTTTATTTAAATTCGATTCGACCCACAAATTATTATGTTAGTTTATCTTTGATTGAAACCTATAAAAAGGTAGGGTAGCCCTAGAAGGTAAACCCTTCACACAACCTATGAGAAAAAATTCTAAAGATGATCATAGTGCATAAAATTTGCAATAATTAGGATTCAGAACTCACATGAAACCAGAAAATTGATTTATATAGAAAGGAGAATAAGAGGAACATATTAAAATATATATATATGAATTAAATAAATGGAAGAAAACTATTTACAAAAAAAAAGGGAAGAGAAAGAGAATCCATGAAAGGGAATAAATCACATTTGTCCATTTTAAGCTTCATACAACCAAAACAAAAATCAAGTAATTACTATCCATGATCTCGATTCCGTTTCCGAAAGCGTTCTCCGAAAGTACGGTCCATTTACTCCGCGAAAGTCTTGGGGAAGTGGAATCGACCACATGGCTTGTATTAATAAATCTTCCTAATACTTTAGACGGAAAATGCATAACCAGTTTGATTTGTGTCCCCAACAAGCATACACACACCAACAGAGGTACAGTCAACACAAAGCATGGCAAGATTATCATAATAAACCGAAGACACTAGCCAACATATAACAGAAAAGCAGTTGCAAACACATAATTTTGTGTAGAAAACAAAAATTATATATATATACATGAAAAAGAATTGCATAAATTATACACATTACAATTATTTAGTTAATTATTATTAAGAATTATATGGAAAGATAATAAGACAAGGCCGAAATGGAAGCGTGAGCATATGTAGATAAACCTAACTAATTTTAATTTATAACGAGAATAACAAAACACTAGCCGTTGTATCTTAATTGAGAAAACCAAAGCAACAACAACAAATTATAAAACGACAAGCAAAAAACAATTTCAAATCAATAATCCATTTACTACTAGGACTTTGCAACTAAACAACTATAATAAATTTCTTTTCTCTGATTTCTTCTCTTTTTTCATCGAAAAAATTTTTAAAATTTTTATCACAACAAATTACAACTCAAGCACACACCCCGATAAACAAAAATGAAAACCACAAACATCACGCAACGATAAAACCACTAAACACGTATTCCAATAACAATTAAAAAGAAACCAAAAACCATTCTGCGTGAATCATATCATTGAGCTTTGCTTCACTAACGACGGGAAGACATTCTAAATCAAAGATAAACCTAAACAAAAAAGGCGAAAATACAACATATATTTCAAACTATTTAATGAAATTGAAATATAATAAAAGATAACGATAATACAAAACGTTTTCAAACAAGTTACTGGAACTTAAAAAAGAGTTTCTCGATTAAGTAAGCAACAAATTAAATTCACTGAATGAACACACACCAGAAAAGCTTTCGCCCGCGCTGGCTGAGCCGAATATTCTATAGCCATTAATATAATAATCTATATCAATTTCATTTCCATTTGTTTCTTATACTTTCGAGTCACAGCAACAAGAAAAGAACAGTAACAAGTATGGGAAACATATTATGCAAGAAAACTATAACAGAAAACCAAACACAGCAGAGATAATAGAATAAAATCCATGAGCAAAAAATAAAGATGCGAAAAACAAGAAAAGAAAATAAAGTGAACTTGTTAATTTTTAGCATTTAAGTCTGTAAAGCTCCGCTTGTAGATGAAAAATCAATAAATAAACTAAATACAAAGAACAAATTCAATAAATGGAGACATCAAAGCTAAAAGCTTTCACGAAAGAAACAAAACTTCCAATATTGCCAGTATTCGGGAATTTCTCTTTGTAATGCCATCATAAAAGTTAAAGGATATGTTAGAGGATATGTTAATGGTAGTGAAAAGGTACACTTTATTTCTAAACTAAGATTCGTTTCGCTGAAATTACAGTAAAAAGACGCCATTCCTTTTAGGCCAGGACACTGGGAAATATGGCATTCTTGGCAATGGGCTGGTTGGCCCTTCGCACAATCCTGATGTAGCCGTCTTCGCCCCACCTCCTTCCGAAGGAGTTCAGGCACCGCCAGTAGTCCAAATTGGTCTCTGTGTCGTGATCGTAGCCCACGACGACAAGAAACTGCGAGCTCCTCGGGTTGGTCAGGGCACTCGTATCCTGCACGTACACACCGCTGGAGTACTGCATGAACCCGAAGGTCGCCGGATTATATTCCACGATCACAGGGAATCCATTGGACACGTAATTCATGACAGCGTCATCGTCGCCATCGGCCACCGCAGAGTAGTTGGCCAATCTCACGCCCACGGCCACCGAGGATGAAGGCTGGCACATGCCCGGTGTCTTGGAGATATTGTCGTTCCGATAGTCCGCCTCCGGGTACAGATACGAGTCCGTTAGCTGGGTGAGATAGTCTAGGGCTGCCTGCGGCTCTTGGGTGGTGCAGCCGGTGCCCATGCCCGCACAATCGATGAGCTGCTGGGCGGAGAGTGAGGCAGGGGCAGTATTGGCCGACTGGACGGCATTTAGAATCTCGACGGCCTTGGCCGCGGCATAGGCCCAGCTACTGCTGCAGTTCTGTCCCTGATCCTCAACCATCACGGTGAGTCCAAAGTCGGAAATGATGTCGTAGGAGCTCGATGCCACCTGCGTGGTCGGGGGATCACTGGCCTGCGAGGTGGTCAGGGGCACAGCCTTGGGCAGAAGGGCCGCGAACTGGATGAGGCGTATGTCTGAAAACTGATTGACTGCCTCGCGGTAGCTGCTCCTATTCCGATCCGCCTGAGCATTGTGCTGGGCCACCTGGTTGCGGTTATAAATGAAATAGTAGTTGGCAAAGTTGCGAGCCGAAGTTGACACATACGACTTGTCAAAGGTTGTCTAAAAATACAGAACAACATGGCAAACATTTTAATGTAAAATTATTAAAGTACAGTATTATTTATAATAAACATGTACATAGTATATCCCTTACCGCATAGGCATTGAAGTCCACCAAGTCCTGGCCATGATTAAAAGCCCATCCGCCACCGGCGGCCAGCAAAAGACAGCAGAGCAGCAACTTGAACATGACGAAAACCTAAAATCGAGGCAACTGATGATGGCTAGAACCACGGAATGGCCTTTTATAGCCAGCGGGAACTCTCCTTCTGATTTCAAAAGCAAATAGAAGTTTACCATGCCGAGTTACTTTCGCAAGAAAAGTGCAAATAGATTTCTACGGGGCCTTGAATTCGCACTTGGCCTACAGACAAGATATAGAAGTAGTACTGGTACTGGTAAGCATGGGTCCGGGTCCGGTGGTCTCGATAAGCCCCCGTTAGAGGGAAAAAGTCTGGGTGCGCTTTGTTTGTCCAATAAACTTGTCAAATGCGCTCCGTTTCGTATCGTTGCGATTCGCTGGGTTCTCGTATCTCTGTTAATTCGAAGTCATCACTGGCCCAGTTCAAAAATTTGGTACTACCCCTCCTAAGCATCGTAAAAGCGTTGTCTCTAATGCCAACTTATCGTCACCGGTTGTGGCTTTTTGTCTTCTCTCCAGGCTTGACTAATCACATTCATACTTTCATGGCGCCCATAAAAATTGCAACATGGTGCTTAGTAGGCTCGTTTGATGTCTTGTCTTGGCCAAATTGATGTACACAGGCGAAGTGCTAAATGAGCTGTTTGGCAATTTCAATCGACGGCTTAAACAGGTTTACGGGAAGATTCTTGGAAGTCTGCAAAAGTGGGCCTCCAGTCAATGAACTTGATAGTCAGTTAATAATCTGTTAATTGAACTGCTAATAAATGGCACATTTTGGCAAAGCTTTTCTCATGCTAATGCATAGCTCTAGTATGTTGGCCATTATTTAAATGATATAATTGATATTTACATATTTGGTTAATCTATATTATCATAACCACAAAACAAAGAGTTATGAGACATTAAGTGCTGATAATAACAATAAACAGTTTATCTAAATGTAAATACCTTTCAGCAACATATTTTATAAAACACTGAAACAGAAATTTTAAAAATATAAATAATTCATTGTTATATTTACAATTCCTGATATATTATGCACATTTCTTTGTTTTTGTGGTTATGCGTTCATAAATAATAAACTAGTTTTGGGGAGTATAGATCATGTAATACTGGAAACTATATTTAAACCTATCAATTAATTACATTCCACTTTATCTATTTTCTCCTTGTTTCGGATGAATTAATATATTTAGACACAGTTTTTATTGGCCAACAAACAATTACCAAACATGCATAAAATTAAGACAGGCCAAATTATAATACCATAAACCAGAAAGCCAGCCTGCCAAATGAAGACGAATACGTTTTTAGTTTTCTCAAAAATGATTCAAATTGGCGCTCATCTGGTTTTGGCCAGATGTCTGAGCCCGGACTCTCTGCCTGGACCCTATAAAACCGAGGTGTGCGGGTCGAGAGCCGCTTATAACCTCGCCGGTCTTCGTGTCTGCGCCATCTTCGCAACGATTTCTGAACGCCGAAGATATTTTTACCATAAAGTCGTAAAAGGTGATTGAGCCATGCTTTCAACATATGGGTGTCGTGTGTGTTTTTTGTGATATTAACGTGCTTTTTCGTTACACCGAAAACAAGTTAAATGAGAATACAACACTTGTTGTGTAACACCTGCTACATAGTTAACAATAAAAACTATATATTTTGTGAAGTTTTATTAACAATGTTTGAGTATAATATCCCACCAATAATTAGATCATCCATAAAATGCCATGAAATTCCAAGATGGAAATAAAGACCTATTTGACAAAGATCTTAAAGAAAATATGAACTACAATAGAGCCTTAAATAAAGTGACTTTAAACCACAAAAAAAAAAAATTAACAATTTTTAACAATTTTCATGTAGTAAAGAATGTTAATAGAAAAGAATTTAAAAAGGTTTTTATACATTTAAAATTAATACAACACATGCTCAGATAAAAATACCCTAAAAAAACCAATTAAATTCATCTCGAGATATCGAATTTTCGGTGTAATATCAAATCAAGCATACAAGAGAACCACAATTGCAATTAAAGACTACATTCAAATAGAAATTCATCAGAGATGAATGAAAATGGAGTATTCGCCTTTCACCCAGGCCCAGCATGTGATGGATATTTACGATTTACGGCATCGGTGTTGGCATCGAAAGTGAAATTTTGGCCTGCGGTTGCCTAATCTAGATTCATTTGGCCCACGGCCAGGCAATCTAAGCCAAAAAGAAATAAAAGGAGAGCTCCAGCAGTCCGAAATGATGTATATGCCGAATATCGAGCGGATCCAATGCAGGGCTTGTATCTTTTTTAATGAGACACCAATGGCCATATGCTAAGCATATGCAAATGGGATTATTCAACCGATAATGATGATGCATATGTCATCAGCGATCGGGTTGGCGAACAGCATCTCGGAATAGCAAACACTGAATGCTCTGCTAAGCTGAGTTGAGATCGATGTGGGAGCTGGGTTCCGCAGAAGTGAAGACATGGGCTAAAGCCAACGGGTGATTAATTACCAATTAAGTTGGCCGATTGCCGACAGAAGAAGATGATCTGCGGGATACCAAGAGAGCAAATAAATACCATTAAATTGTCGGACATGTAGTTTTTCGTTAAATTGATCATCAAGTTGTTGGGCTTCTTTAAAATATACATACATGCAGGTTGGAAATGAAAACCAATTAACGGGTTTCTACAGGAAATATGTTTTCTTTTTTTAAATAAAACATTGACAAAGTATGATTGGTTTTCATTTTTGGGTTTCCCTTTTAAAGTAGGTTTTTTTTTATTTTTATTATTAATCAAAAAAAAATTTTTTTCTAGCCTGCAATATTTATTAAAATTCCAAGCTGAATTGGAAGATAAGAAAGTTTAACGGAAATTTCGACCTGGGTTTTTAATATTATTAATTATGTTATATTTTAAAAGTTCTAGTTTCAAACAGTTTATTATAGATTTTTTGTTTAACTTTATAAGGTTTATGATATAAAGCTTTTCGCGAGAATTTTGTGCCATGATGGGGAGATCTTCGATTTTATAATGCTCATGAATATATTGAAATATATTTATGTGGGGGTTTCCCTATATTTCCCCATTAAAAAAACCACGAGCCCTATCGGAAGATGGTTCGTATCGAGGTGAATGGGCCAAATTCACCTGCGATTAACGTTGACAGATGAGGCTGGAGAGTGGGAAAGGGATGATGAGGAGGGGGGACTGTGTTGGCCAAGAGATTATCTAACACTCTCCACTCTTTTTGCTTTCATGCAGATGCGGATGTGCCCATCGATGTGGTTGCAGCTGGCGACGGGTCTGGCCCTGCTGGGTGCTGTCTCATTGCAGACTCTGCAGTCGTTCCCCAAGCTGTGCGACATCCGAAACTTTGACGACTTCCTGCGGCAGACGGGCAAGGTGTACAGCGATGAGGAGCGCGTTTACCGCGAGAGTATCTTCGCTGCCAAGATGTCGCTGATCACGCTGACCAACAAGAACGCTGACACAGGCATCGCGAGCTTCAGCCTGAGTGTCAATCCACTGGCGGATATGACCAGGAAGGAGATCGGCACCTTGCTGGGCTCTAAGGTGTCCGAATCCGGCGAGTAAGTATGCTTTTAACACGTGACATGCCGTGACGCAATAGCAAATAGCATAAGGAGAGCCCCAAGTTCGAGAATGGAATAATTAACACCTAACTCATATTTCCTAAACGGGTTTACAGTTTAATATCTTCTCGTGGGCGCTAACCAATCTGTAACTTGCGGGCCTACGACGGAGATTATGCTGAACTAATTCACTAGCGATATTAGCATAGATTCCATTTCTGGCCATTATCTCAGTTATTTCCCAAAATTAGTTTATCGCAAGTAAACAAAAGCCTTTTTATCGTGTGACTGGGTAAGAAGCAATTTCTTATTATATTGTTTTGTTTATTCAAAATATTTGTAAAAAGAGTCATAACGCACTTGGGCAATTTTATCTTCTATTAGCGCATTAATTAAATTGTTATTGTCTTGTTTATTCCGGGAATTCAATTAGCATTTTAGGGTATTTCTCAATTGAATTTTGTATTTCTTTTAATTAATTAAGTATGTAGGGAACAATGTGTACTCATAAAAGTATTAGGTAATTCATCTTAGAGCTATCATCAATATCCTTTAGAAAATTAACTTTAAATATAAAACAAGAAAGGAAGCTAACTTCGGCACGCCGAAGTTTGTATTCCCTTGCAGATTGGTTTCGATGTTTATATTATAGATTTAAATGCTGAAAAGACTCACAAAACAGAGTTTCATTACATTTTACCTATACTTATTATGTTTACAGTTTGACAGTTACAGTTTTACATTTTCTCTACATCTACCGATCGCTTTATATGGCAGCTATATGATCAAGTTGTCCGATTTTTATGAAATTTATACCAAAATTCTAGAATAATAAAGAAAGCTTATATCTCAGAGTAGAATAGTTTGAAAAACAACGAAGTTATAATTTTTTTTCTATTAATTTCCTGATCGTTCCTATGGCAGCTATATGATATAGTCATCCGATTTTCATAAAATGTTTACCAAAATTCAGAAATAATATAATGGCCATATCTAAAAAATTGTGCAAAAATATTGAAAAACAGAAAAGTTATAATTTTTTTTCTAAAAATTTATCAAACATTTGTATGGCAGCTATATGATATAGTCGTCCGATCCGGCCCGTTCCGACATATATAGCAGTGAGAGTATATAGAAGACTATATGCAAAGTTTCATTCAGATAGCTTTAAAACTGAGGGACTAGTTTGCGTAGAAACAGGCAGACGGACAGACGGACAGACGGACATGGCTAGATCGACTCGGCTGTTGATGCTGATAAAGAATATATTTACTTTATAGGGTCGGAAACGTCTCCTTAACTGAAATTATAATACCCTGCAAGGGTATAATTAAGGAAATTTGATATTGAATGAAACACTTTTTTCTGACTTATGATATTGAATAATTTAGTGACAACGATATTAGTTGGCAGAGTTAGTATAACATATGATTCAGTCTGCAGCTTGAAAAGGTCATCATTTATAATTTAGCTGACTGTTCACTTTACAACATTGGGTTTTACATTTTTTTGCGTTACCTTATACTTTTATTTATTTAAAAAATTATAGATTATTATTTTATTTTCTTTGTGAGAAAAAGTTTACATTAGACAAATTTGTTTATACCCTAGCAGGGTGTTGGAATTTTAGCAATGAGTATGAATATATACTTGTAGTTAGACATATACTCATACTCATTGCTAAAATTTCCAAAAGGTTGTGAATCCTTATTTGACCTAAAATATTGTTTTTTATACGATTAAAAGGTTTTTCTTAATGTTTTTGAAATTTGATCAGACCCTAATAATATGCTATGTTAAAATATACATCTTTTATCTCCTGTTAGTTTTTGTTTTTATTTGACCAAAATGAGTCGATTCTTAATGATCAAAGTGCAAACTGCAAGGGTATACAACTTCAGCGTTTCGAAGTTAGCTTCCTTTCTTGACTAAAAAATGTGTCTGGCAGCATATTCATGGTTTTCAAACCCTCAAACATTCTGCATAATTTTACTAAGCGATTTTACTACTATAAATTGTGGAAAGATATATATTTAACAACAGTTTAAGTAGAAAATGAGTAGTTTTTGATTTTAACTCATAAAAAGTAAAAGAAAAATTTTTCATGTGATGCAATTTGAGATCGTCATGCCTCGTCACAGCCGTTAATTGAGTATTTTTGCATAACCCACACAAAGCCACAGCAATTAACCCCCTTTCACCTTTCAGAAAGTACACCGATGGACACATCAACTTTGTGACTGGCCCCCGTAGTCCGACCGCAGCCAATCTGCCGGAGAAGTTCGATTGGCGCGAGAAGGGAGGCGTGACCCCGCCCGGCTTCCAGGGCGTCGGCTGTGGAGCCTGTTGGTCGTTTGCCACGACCGGAGCCCTCGAGGGCCACATCTTCAGGCGGACGGGAGTGCTGCCTTCACTGTCGCAGCAGAACCTGGTGGACTGTGCCGACGACTACGGTAACATGGGCTGTGATGGTGGCTTCCAGGAGTACGGCTTCGAGTACATTCGCGACCATGGCGTTACGCTGGCCAGCAAGTACCCGTACACGCAGTCGGAGATGCAGTGCCGTCAGAACGAGACAGCCGGACGGCCACCCAGGGAGAGCATCGTGAAGATCCGCGACTACGCCACGATTACGCCCGGCGATGAGGAGAAGATGAAGGAGGTGATCGCCACCCTGGGGCCACTGGCCTGCTCCATGAACGCGGACACCATCTCGTTCGAGCAGTACGGCGGCGGCATCTACGAGGACGACGCCTGCAACCAGGACGAGGTGAACCACTCGGTCACTGTGGTGGGCTACGGGTCGGAGAACGGACGCGACTACTGGATCATCAAGAATTCATACTCCCAGAACTGGGGCGAGGGCGGCTTCATGCGACTCATCCGCAACGCTGGCGGCTTCTGCGGCATCGCCAGCGAGTGCAGCTACCCGATCTTGTAGAGATTCCACCCGATCTCTATGTAGTTAGCCTACGCCATAGATATATAGTATAGTCAGTTACAAAACCACGAATTTATAACTATGTTACTCTAGTTTGTAGCGTTGCGGTGGCGACATCCGGCCAATTTTTGTGCCTTGGTCCGGGATGTGTCACTCGGTCATAAATAAACATGAAAGTGCCTTTCAATATTTCGGTGTACACAATGATAAAGCATTTACCTGCATAGTTTATGCAGTGACTTTATTTAGCAGATATGATTATAGCTTTTGATCAGCATAAATTTGACTTTCAGGAGCCATTTCTCAGAGACTTGCATTCTATACCTTCTGCAATCTTAAAGGTGATAGGCAGACAAGGTTATTTATATCATAAAAACCAACTTTTTAAACCAGTTAACTATAAATATAAAATCAATTGACTTGGCGAACACAAGCTTAGTAAAATTGTAGGAGATATTCGACATTTGTCACCTGATTCTAGTAAACATTAAGTCGTGGCTTCGAATCTGGGCCATGACATCCAAAACCTTTGGTTTTTTATTGCATTTTTAGAATATTGTATTTTTCTGACCAAACATTCAAAGCTGCATTCAAAGCTTCCTTTTGCAATCACATTGTGAATCTTGTGAAAACTGTGAATATAAATATGCTATGTGATACAAATATGTTAGTTGAAGGAAGATCGAAAGTTAGCCTTTGTTAAATTCATGAAAGAATATGTCGCATAAACCAGTGTACCTATCACGATTTTGCTCTCATTTATAAACAAAACGGGTAAGTTCCCCCATGCCTCACCTGAAATATGCTCTCCAGAACGAAAAGAGAGTCAATTTAAAAAAGAAATAAATAAATGCCTTATCGCCAGGCAGCTTGGATCGAATCTTTCTCTGCTCTCTGCTCGCTATGATTGCTCTGAGTATTTATAGGTAGTACCTCGAAGCCTGCGGCTCAGTACGCGAAAAGTAAGCAATATGAGCTTGGCTTACTTCACCACTGTCGCCTTCTTGATTGCGAATCTCATGGGCGCGGCCTGGGCAGCCCCCACAACTCCCGCCTCCGCAAACCAAACCGAAGTTAAAAGTGATTCACAACCTAAAATAAAAGCAACCGTCGGGAATAATAGGACTGAGTCAGCACCAACTACTCCAGGGGTTGAGCTCCCATCTGGATTCCAAGAAGAAGCCGAATGCCGGGCCGATTGGCAAAAGTTCATTGTGAGTTTGGCGATAACGTCTTCCCAGAATTGCAGCCCATTAAAATATGTTTTAGGTTGATTTCAGTGTGCAGTACGCAAACGATGAGGAGGCCCAAAAACGTCGTAACATATTCTGCGCTAATTGGCAAAGGATTCAGGAGCACAATTTTCAATACGAAGCGGGAAAAGTATCCTTCAAGAAGAAAATAAATCAGTGGTCTGACTGGACCATTGAAGAGTGGAAGGATAAACAACGTCCTCTCCTTGCCCCTGAATTTGACAAGGCTAAACCTACGACTGAAACATCTGAAAAGGATCAAACGAGGATTAAGTGCCAGACTGCCTGGGAGAAGTTCTTGGTAAGCTTCTTCATATTTTCAACAATTATTTATTTTAATTATCTCAATATACAGACAGATTATAGTCGAAAATACGAAAATGATGAAGAGACTGAGAAGCGTCGCTGCATCTTCTGTGACAACTGGCAAAGGATTCAAGAGCACAATGTGCTATACGAAGCGGGAAAGGTTTCCCATAAGAAGAGCATAAACCAGTGGTCTGATTTGACGTTTGAAGAGTGGAAGAAAATGCAAGAACCCTCCTTTCCTCCTAATATGGAGACATCTGGAAATAAAACTGAACCAGCTTTAGCAGAGTTTTCAGAAGAATCTCAGAATAAATTTCCAGCGAATATGGAAGAGCATGGAGCATATGTTGCACCTCTGAAACCAAAGTTACTGAATGAAGAACAACTAGTTGAAGAAGAAAGCCTGATAGGGAAACCAGCTAATAGAGAATTAACGGGAACCCAAACGGAGGAAGCTATAGTGGAAATAGGGTCGCAGGAACACTGGTTTCCAGCTAAAAATGAATCGCCTGGAACATATATTGTGAAAACGGACGCATCTGAAGATGATAAGAAAGGGATTAAGTGCCAGGCTGCCTGGGAGAAGTTCATGGTAGGTTCATTATGTCTTGAATATGTACTTATATTAACCAATGTGATTTACAGATTGATTACGCCCCAAAATATGTAAACGATGTCGAAACTGAGAAACGTCGGAGCATCTTCTGTGACAACTGGCAAAGGATTCAGGAGCACAATGCACAATTTGAATTAGGAAAGGTTTCCTACAAGGAAAGTACAAATGGGTGGTCGGACTTGACTTCTGAAGAGCTTAAGAGTCAAAATCCAGATATCCTTCCGCCTAGTTTAAAACCATCGTCAAACAAAACGGAGGAAACTATAGTGGAAGTTGGGTCGCAGCAGGTTTGGTTTCCACCTAATACGGAGGAACCCGGAACATATGTTGTGAAAACGGACACATCTGAAGAAGATAAGAAAGGGATTAAGTGCCAGGCTGCCTGGGATAAGTTCCTGGTAAGTTTTATTAGGTCTGGAATATAAATTTATTTTAATTACCTCCATTTACAGACAGATTTTAGTCGAAAATACGAAAATGATGAAGAGACTGAGAAGCGGCGCTCCATTTTCTATGATAATTTTCAAAGAATTCAGGAGCACAATGTGCTATACGAATCGGGAAAGATGTCTTACAAGAAGAGCATAAACCAGTGGTCTGATTTGACGTTTGAAGAGTGGAAGAAAATGCAAGAACACTCCTTTCCTCCTAATATGGATACACCTGGAAACAAAACTGAACCAGCTGAAGCCCAGTTTTCAGAAGAATCTCAGAATAGATTTTCGGCAAATATGGAAGAGCATGGAGCATATGTTGCACCTCCGAAACCAAAGTTACTGAATGAAGAACAACTAGTTGAAGAAAAAAGCCTGATAGAGAAACCAGCAAATATAGAATTAACTGGAAACCAAACGGAGGAAGCTATAGTGGAAATAGGGTCGCAGGAAGACTGGTTTCCAGCTAATAATGAATCGCTTGGCACATATATTGTGAAAACGGACACATCTGAAAACGATAAGAAAGGGGTTTGGTGCCAGGCTGCCTGGGAGAAGTTCCTGGTAGGTTAATAGGTTTTGAATATTTACTTATAATAATCATTGTTATTTATAGATTGATTATACCCCAAAATATGAAAACGATGTCGAAACTGAGAAACGTCGGAGTATCTTCTGTGACAACTGGCAAAGGATTCAGGAGCACAATGCCCAATACGAATTTGGAAAGTTTTCCTACAAGAAGAGTACAAATGGGTGGTCGGACTTGACTTCTGAAGAGCTTAAGAGTCAAAATCCAGATATCCTTCCGCCTAATTTAAAACCATCGGAAAACAAAACGGAGGAAACTATAGTGGAAGTTGGGTCGCAGCAGGTTTGGTTTCCACCTAATACGGAGGAACCCGGAACATATGTTGTGAAAACGGACGCATCTGAAGATAATAAGAAAGGGATTAAGTGCCAGGCTGCCTGGGAGAAGTTCATGGTAGGTTAATAGGTTTTGAATATTTACTTATAATAATCATTGTTATTTATAGATTGATTACACCCCAAAATATGAAAGCGATGTCGAAACTGAGAAACGTCGGAGCATCTTCTGTGACAACTGGCAAAGGATTCAGGAGCATAATGCGCAATTTGAATTAGGAAAGGTTTCCTACGAGGAGAGTACAAATGGGTGGTCTGACTTGACTTCTGAAGAGCTTAAGAGTCAGAATCCAGATATCCTTCCGCCTAGTTTAAAACCATCGGAAAACAAAATGGAGGAAACTATAGTGGAAGTTGGGTCGCAGCAGGTTTGGTTTCCACCTAATACGGAGGAACCCGGAACATATGTTGTGAAAACGGACACATCTGAAGATAATAAGAAAGGGATTAAGTGCCAGGCTGCCTGGGAGAAGTTCCTGGTAGGTTCATTAGGTTTTTAATATTTACTTATAATAACCAATGTGATTTACAGATTGATTACGCCCCAAAATATGACAGCGATGTCGAAACTGAGAAACGTCGGAGCATCTTCTGTGACAACTGGCAAAGGATTCAGGAGCACAATGCCCAATACGAATTAGGAAAGGTTTCCTACAAGGAGAGTACAAATGGGTGGTCTGACTTGACTTCTGAAGAGCTTAAGAGTCAGAATCCAGATATCCTTCCGCCTAGTTTAAAACCATCGGAAAACAAAACGGAGGAAACTATAGTGGAAGTTGGGTCGCAGCAGGTTTGGTTTCCACCTAATACGGAGGAACCCGGAACATATGTTGTGAAAACGGACGCATCTGAAGATGATAAGAAAGGGATTAAGTGCCAGGGTGCCTGGGATAAGTTCCTGGTAGGTTTTACTAGGTCTTGAATATCCATTTATTTTAATTATCTCCATTTACAGACAGATTTTAGTCGAAAATACGAAAATGATGAAGAGACTGAGAAGCGGCGCTCCATCTTCTGTGATAATTTTCAAAGAATTCAGGAGCACAATGTGCTATACGAAGCGGGAAAGGTGTCCCATAAGAAGGGCATTAACCAGTGGTCTGATTTGACGTTTGAAGAGTGGAAGAAAATGCAAGAACACTCCTTTCCTCCTAATATGGATACACCTGGAAACAAAACTGAACCAGCTGAAGCCCAGTTTTCAGAAGAATCTCAGAATAGATTTTCGGCAAATATGGAAGAGCATGGAGCATATGTTGCACCTCCGAAACCAAAGTTACTGAATGAAGAACAACTAGTTGAAGAAAAAAGCCTGATAGAGAAACCAGCAAATAGAGAATTAACTGGAAACCAAACGGAGGAAGCTATAGTGGAAATAGGGTCGCAGGAAGACTGGTTTCCAGCTAATAATGAATCGCCTGACACTTATATTGTGAAAACGGACGCATCTGAAAACGATAAGAAAGTGGTTTGGTGCCAGGCTGCCTGGGAGAAGTTCCTGGTAGGTTAATAGGTTTTGAATATTTACTTATAATAACCAATGTGATTTTCAGATTGATTACACCCCAAAATATGAAAACGATGTCGAAACTGAGAAACGTCGGAGCATCTTCTGTGACAACTGGCAAAGGATTCAGGAGCACAATGCCCAATACGAATTAGGAAAGGTTTCCTACAAGGAGAGTACAAATGGGTGGTCTGACTGGACTTCTGAAGAGCTTAAGAGTCAAAATCCAGATATCCTTCCGGCTAATTTAAAACCATCGGAAAACAAAACGGAGGAAACTTTAGTGGAAGTTGGGTCGCAGCAGGTTTGGTTTCCACCGAATATGGAAGAACCCGGATTATATATTGCAGAAACGACCTTGGAACCTGAAGCATTAGATATAGAATTCTCCGACGAAGTTCGTCAGATTGAAGATTTAGAAGAACCAGTTAATACGAAATTACCTGGAACATTTCCTGCTAAACCACCAAAGAAATCGAATTCTTCGAATGAAGAAGTTCTCATAGAATAGCAGTAAAAAACAAAAATTAATCAGAGAGGTAACAGACTTCTTTTCAAACTGATGTAGTGTATAAAGTATAAGGAATTGTAAAGTAAACGAAGGGACCCAATAAAAATACTTGACTGTTAGTTGGTTTTTAAAAATATGTATTTATATTAATCTGAGGGTTTTCTGCTTAAGGATCTTGTTTGAGGAGTTCTTCTGTTACAATAGTGTTCGCAAATGCTAATTTCGCATTCTTTCACTGGCGGCGTTTTTGTAATCTCGACCTTAAGTTTTTGAAATGAGTAAATTTAAATTTTTGGTTTCTTTGTCTATCATTGTAACGCACACGAATTCTACATGATTAATTTATATTTGTATATTTGCTCTGAGATACCTGTCCGCTTGTGGCTTTCAGCAGGGGTCTTCGTATGACATATACAATCCGTAATATATATAATATATATGTATATATAGTATTTAATTTAACAAATACATTTGTAGGTTATCGCAAGTTGCTGCACTAAGTGAACATTTATGTAATCAATATGTTTACATTCATTGATATTTGAGTGTATTCCAAGGAGCGATCGCACCCAGCCTCTCCAGCGGATGGGACAACCCCTGCAATGCGTAATGGGTATTGTACACACAAGCATATATTTCCATTTCTTCGGCATTATTATTATTATTTACTATACAAATCTCTGGTTGGGAGTTGGGGCAACAATGGGCCTTTAGCAAGCCTTAGACACATTTAAGCGAATCCGTAATGCCTGCGGTAATCTAGTTTGAAAACACCTGAATACTGTGGTTACAGGTTAGGTTCCTTACTGTGTACTGTGATGATTACTGTTTACAATTTACAAATTGTTTGGCGTTTATTGTTGTCCTTCTAATCAAGCTCCGGCCCTGGCCGCAGGACTCGTATGTGTTGGGCTGTCCAGATTCGGTTTATTGGATATGTAGCTTGAGCAGTGGGCACGAGTGTTTCGGAATAGCGTTCTGTTTCTGACCAAATTGCTGATGCTGCTGCGTTTGTGTGTAAATTTATCTAAAAAATCTCGTCTGCGTGGATTCCCTCGGTTGCTAGCTATAGCTGATCGAGGCGACCAGGGCCTGGCACGAACCGAAATTATATATAATAAGTACGTACATGTAAACACTAAATAACTAACAACGTTAAAAGCATATATCATGTCAAATATCGAGTAGGCAATACACAAAACTATTCCTCAACTGGTAGCCTGTATATGTATACATATGGGATACATAACTAGTTGTATATCTGTATATATATATATATATATTGCAACAAATTTCCACTACAAAAAACTGCACACACTCAACTTAGGGGGCTAGCTTACGAGTTATATATTCATACTATTCCGACAAATCCTTATATATCCTCTGGTAGCTAAAGCAAGTGCGTGGCATTGTATCTGCAACTGCTTGACTTTGTATTTGTATCTTGTATGCTTTCCTCTTTTTAACCAACTGCTTTATTGTTTCTGTTACTTTGTTACTTTTGTTATATGTTCAACATCGGTGTATATGGTAAAGCCAACTGGTGTGTTTGCTGTTTAGTCGTGTAAAACGTTTGCCATTTGCACTACAAAATCGAAGTAAGTGTTCTGTGGACAACGGAGGAGCAAGTGGGGGAAAATCCTTAGTAGGTGGGCTGCTGGTACTCCATGCCGGACTGCTGCTGCTGCTCCATACCTCCTACAGAATTTATATATATTAGCAGTTATATTATTTGTAGGTAAATAAGGGTATGTAAGGGGGAATGTAAAGAGTCCTATATTTACCCTGCTGCGGCTGACCAAAGGGCGAGGCGCTGTATTGATCATTGTCATTGTCCATGGAGTAGCCGTAGGCCTGCTGGTGCACTACGTTGGCCGGGTCCGTTTCGAAGGCCGAGGTGAACTCATCGCCGGCGCCAATCAGGAACCGCTTGTAGGCCATCAGAGCGCATAGGGCCTAAGAATAAAGAATTAATAGAAAACTACATTAACATTCAGCAATTGACAGGAGATGATGGCTACGAACCCAGGTGACTATCGAGAAGAGACAGAACCAGATGGCGGTCTTCATGCTGCCAGCTCCGATGCCCAGAGGCGGCGGGGGCGACGAGCTCCACTGGGACCATAAATACAGGAAGGCCACAAAGTACATGAAGGTCCAGAAGGCTGCAATAAGAGAACCTTGCCATCAGATGTCCTAGTTAAGGATATTGGACGGAGGGGCTTACCCGAGAAAGCCATATCAGCCATGACGTAACGCTTTCTACTCTTCACCGACGACATCCGCTCAAACAGGAACTCGCCTCCCATGAAGCCCATGGAGGCAAGGAACCCGAAGACGCCAACCATGTTGCCGAACTTACAGGCCATTCCGTCTCCACTAAACAGGCAGTATTCTTTGCCGTCCTTCTCCGTCCAGCCCTCGGAGGATATGCAGCCGAAGACGACGACTGAAAAGAGCTATCGAATGGGAGAAATTCCTTAAGTGAGGGAGCGTACTTTGCATATTAAAAATTCCGAATACAACACTTAAGCTGTGTTAATGGGCAATTAAAAATTCAATTCACTCAAAACTATTCGCAAGCCATAGGGTCTTTAGCGAAATGTATCTCTGGTAAGTTGAGATTTGATCAGTTTTCTTGATTTTGGCTAAGGAAACCGGCTACCAATAGTCTCCTAAGACTTGTCTTAATTCTTGTAATTTATAGGATTATCAAAGTAATTGTATTGCCAATAAAAAAGTTACACCTCCTTACCAGCGTAAATACTTAGTTTATGTATTTTTCTCAACTCCCACTCTCGGCTATCGATTTTCCTGAGCAGGTGCAACAAGCAACAAGAAGTTCAAGTACACAGACAACGAGGCAGACACGTACTTATGTTTGTGACCCAATTCGCGGAATGAAGGCCAAGTTTAGTTTGTTTGGCCAGGAATGCCGGAGGGCGGGAGGAGGCATTGGAGGATTGCAATCGCAAGGACCAAGTGTCCTTGGTCAGCAGAGTGGGCAAATATTACGTATACACAAATGGAAAGCAAACTAACCCCTACCCGCCACTCTGTTATCGCATATTTCCCTGTTCACTGGCTGACGCACATCAAATCGCTGGTACAATAAAGTCCTCTAAGTTCCAAGTCCTGAGCCAGTGGTCAATTGCCGCTTGGGTCCTTTACGACATTTAATTATAAAGCTTTCATGGGCGTGAGAGTTTTTATGGCGTCGCTGCAGCTGATCCCGGTTAGCCCCTCTAATGGAGCGCACCTAAGCCCCTGGCACACTCGGGTAAACAAATCCCAGAACACTATTCCTATGCTTCCGCGTTGTCACTACGTTTATGCGTTGTGGCATTCGGGGATTACGAGTTTACGAATGTCACGTACAGTTTATGGGTCTTTTTCTAATGTCCAGCTTTCCTCTTTGATGGTGAGCATTAGGAGAAAGATTAAATCTACAAGAGTTTTTAATGGGTTTTTTTTATGACAGGGGCTTTCTATGTAGTTTATGTATTTAATGAAACCCCAATGACTAAAAATATTTATTTTAAAAAGGGATTATTAGGCTTTAAAAAATTGGATAAGAAATTGATTATAATGGTTTTCTTTTCTTTTCCAATTTCTCACAGTCATTTCTGTTGTTTTCAGTGTAAGCCCAAATTCATGAATCCCTATTTGGGGACACTTTCGTAAACTACTTAAGTGCCGTGCAAACAGCGTTATAATCATCAAGTCGTGTGAGTGGCGCGTGTGTGCTTTCGGGGGTCCGAGAAATCCCAGCATTTCCCCGAGCGGAGCACTCAACCGGAGTCCCCGGAGTCCTACTTACCCAGCAGAGCGCCCGGATGACAACCTGGGGCTTCATGGCAAACGTGACCGGATCGAAGGCGCCGCCCGCCTTACCGCCCCCATAGGCGCCACCGTTGTTGATGCTGAGTATCTGGTTGAGCATGTCCATGTTGCTGGCTATTGGCTATTGGCGTTTTTAGTTCAGTTCAGTTCCGAGTTTGGTTCAGCTTTTCCCAGTGGCGTTTTCGCAGCTTGTTGTGAAAAATCGAACGCTGGCTTCGGTTCGTGGGGCCAAGGCAATGAGTCTCACCCACTCACAGAACTGCTGTGTGTGTCTACACCGAGTGTGTGTGTGTGTAAGTTTCTTTTCTTTTCTCGCAATTATGGATATTACGGCACCGTGCGAATGTTGATTGTTGGGAAACTCTCAACTCTGGTTTCGAAATGCACTTTTCCGTTGCTTTGCCAAATGTCACCGTGTTTTGCTTTTGTCCTAATCAATGCATAATTGATGAACAGAAATTTCAAGGGCCAGATTTTCACTTTTACTTTTTTCGCCAGCTACGCTCTCAACGGTGTTTCGACTGTCAACGCGCAGGACTCGTCCAAAATCGTAAAAAAAAAAAGTGCGCCAAGGTGCAGCGAATTGGCGAGCGCGGCGAATGCTGAATTCGCTTTCCAGAACTCTGTTAGGCTGCCGCTTACAGCGCTGTTAGGCGGTGCCAGTGTGACCCCACCCTTGCTTTTAAATTCAAAATAAATAAAATTTTTGATTTTTTGTGCAACAAATTACTTGTGTTTGATAAATAAATTATGTCGGCTTTTAGGAATCGCAACGAATGTAATTGTTGTCCTCGACAGCCAAAGTGCTACAAGGAGATGAAACGGAAGTTGGAAAAACTAAATTACAGGGATGAGTGGGCATCATCGAAGGTAATTATAAAATTATTTACAATTTACTACAAGATGGTGGAAACTTAAAGTTTCAAAATGAATTTATTTTTTAAACTACAGCAAATAAGCCAAATAAGCAAAGGTGTTAATAAAGTCTTTTAAAATTTGTATTATCATTATTTTTTTCTTAGATTCCCGATCATCCATATATTTGCACAGAAATTGAAGCCGATAAATTGGCCTTTGAAGTTTGCTGTAAAAGCAGGAAAAGAAGAACTAAAGCCTCTGGAAACAAATACCTGACCCTTAGCCCATATGAAGGACTCGCGGAAAGTAAATCTTCACTTGGAGAATCCTACGCCAGGCTACAGGAAATCTACCGAGCTCCGGTCGCCCAGAGATCCTTCTTTGCTAAGAAAAAGCCCAATGTGCGGGAGCAGCGTGAGAAAATACTTCAGGATGGGGCCAAGGAAGAGGAGGAGAAGTACATGACGGCTATGTGGCAGAATCTAATCCAGAAAGTCGAGGCACGGGACAAATTCCAACGGCTCTTGGAGCAAAATCAAGAGCAAACTGTTCAATGGAGGAAGGAGAATGAGCAGGTGTTTAGGAAACCAGAAAAAAGTCAAAATGATCAAGAGAAGCCAACGCCCGTGCAGATAGAGACAGACCTCATGAAGGTCGTTAGCAGGGTAGGAAGAACTGGCAAGGAAAGGAAGAAAGTACGCTCAGTACCTCTCGATGAAGTATTAAACACCCCCCTAGGAAAGTATGAGAAGAACCGGAACAGCAGGACTGATGAGAGGTTTCGTGAGCTTGTCACCGGCTTACTTCTACCTGCAAAGAATGTGAAAAATAGAAACTCAGAGAATAAGTCCACTCCCCAAAATCAGCACCAGAATGGCTCATTTGCTTTTGTCAATAAAACCGTTCCTCTCTCTGATCCTTTTGAACAAATGCCAAGGGCTAAGGCTGTGAAAGTTCCCATATTTTATACAATTAGAAATCGCCAGCGTTTACCTGTTAAGAATCCAAAAAATATAAGTTCCAGTGTGGGAGCTAAGTTTTCATGGCACTTCAGGCAGAAGGTAAAGGCTAAGGCTATGCCCAAGCCAAAGATGTCAAAGCCCTTTGATAATCTGATTACAGGAAAGAACGTTGAGATTCCCGAACGGATGGCTACTTTCTTGAGCCGTCAGAACATCCACAAAGAAATAAATTTAAAAATAGAAGAAAAGGAGAACGCGAGAAAGCCTTACAAGTCTAGACTGAAAGACCAATCCGAGCCGAATTACGGAGTTTACAAAAGCAAAACATCCAGGCACATGCCTAACGGTGATGTAAGACCAAATTTTTCAGAACACTTTCATAAAATGCTAAGGGGCAAGGAAAACACTATCCCCGAACTAAATGTGGCCCTCATGAGCCATCACAAAATATTCCCGGAGATAAAAAGAGCCATAATATCCTCTTCCAAATCCCACAAGAGAAAACAAGACGAATCCGAACCTAGTCACGGAGTTAACAAAAGCAAAAAATCCAAGCACATGCCTAGCGGTGATATAAGACCAAATTTTACAGAACACTTCCATAAAATGCTAAGGGGCAAAGAAAACACTAACCCAGAACTAAATGTGGCTCTTATGAGCCATCATAAAATATTCCCGGAGATAAAAAGAGCCATAAAATCCTCTTCCGGATCTCACAAGAGAAAACAAGACGAATCCGAACCTAATCACGGGGTTTACAAAAGCAAAAAATCCAGGCACATGCCTAGCGGTGATATAAGACCAAACTTTACTGAACACTTCCAAAAAATGCTAAGGGGCAAGGATAACACTATCCCCGAAGTATTCCCAAAAATAACGAGAGCAGAAAAGTCCTCTTCCGGATCCACAAAGGGTAGACTGAAATACAAATTCGAGTCTAGCAACAGAGTTTCCAAAAGGTCCAAGACGCCGAGCAAAAAAGAGGTCACGGTGAGCAAAATAAATGATGTCCGAATAGCCCATCAAGAAATGCCGGCATTACCGGGCATTAAAGCCTTTAAAAATTCAACCGTGAAATCGGACGATCAATACGATAGTGCTTTGCCAAGCAGTATCTTGAAACCAAAGGCTCCCCCTTCTTTTCGCCAAATTTCACAGGACAAGAACAAAAGGGCCTCTATAAGGTCCTCAAGAAGATATCGCCCATCCCTTTTCAAGAACCAGTTAAGACTGCAAAAGTTTGACTATTACATCAGAAACTCGCAGCCGGATTGGAGGATAGTGGAGCGGAGAGGCTCGAAGGATTTGATTGGCTATTTGGACAGAAAGAGTATCCACAGCCTGATAAGCCCAAAGCCGGGTTGGACCAGATCAGAGAGCGGCCGGCCTAGAGGTTCCGTCATCAGCACCACGGATTTTGCCCGGTCCTTGCTGGACGTAAAGGTCGAGCAAGGACCGGTAAAGGCAGCAGAGGTGGAGCGTAGGGATAAAGATGACTTAATGCCGGAGGACTGCATGTTCGACACCGTGCCGGAGGACTACCAGACCGATCAAAATCAGGATCCAAACTTGAATAAGACACTAAGCGAATTAATCGCTGACATTGTAAGGACAGATAAGGAGAAGAAAACATCACTATCAAAGCAGAGACTGAAGCCAAGAGAAAGTACATCGGGTTCGCTGCAGAAAACCCGGAAAAGTAGTTCCGTTTCACTGTTATCGGTACGCGACGAGGTTAAACACTTCGAGCACCTAGCCCTCGAGGATTATGCCTGGCGAGAGCAATATCAGGAGGAGTTTGTGGTGGAGGTGAAGGCCGCCGTGCAGGCACGCATCCAGGAGCTGATGAAGTACGTGGCCATCCGAGAGGACTTTCAGCCACCGAAACCACCAAGGGATTTTATAAGGGAAAACATCGAAATGCTTCCGAAAATGCACCCGCGGGAGGAAGCACGGATAAAGAAAAAGCAGAAACCCAAAAAGCCGGATCTCTTTGACTTTCCTGAAAGCCCTTACAGAAACTCCAACCAGCAGTTGTTAGATACAGAACATGAACCCGTGAGAAAAGTATGCTGCAATATTCATGAGCAGCAGACAAAGCCAAAAGCACCAGCAGAGACAGCAAATGAGACACAGAAATGTGACACATTCGATGGTAAGAGATTGTCTACTTTTTATATTGATCTCATACGAGTCCTTCACAATCAGCAGAATATTCAAATCCGGACTCTGATTTCATCCAGAAGACCAAGCCACACAAAATACGGGAAATGGAAAGAAAGAAGGAAGCTTTGAATCATAACAATTTCGAGGAATGGTGTCCCAAATACTGCTAAATTTTTAAATACTCCATATCTCTTACTCAAAATCCTTGAGGAGAAAAATAATCCTTGGAGAATCATTAGAAAAAGAATGCATTTTGACATCTTATGATGATCCAAAGAATATTTCTCGCTTCAGGGTATTTCAGTGTTTTTAGTCTAAGAAGTGTAACTAAGGAGATTTTTGTAATCTTGATTCTGACATCCATTTCTCGGTTTTTTTTTAACATTTCGTTTTAGTTTTATACACAAAATTGCCCCCTTCACAATGAAAATAATAAATGCATCAAAAGTCAATAAGCTGAACTCACAGATAACCTGCACTTCCTACTACGATTTTCTCACCCAGAAGCGTCAGTGCCTAAAGGCGTTGAATTGCGATCCTCCTAGAAAAACCGAGATAGGCGACCAATTCGGCTCGGCCATGGAGAGTGCGAAGTACTACGAAGTGGATGACAAAGCGGCTGAGTGGTATCTGGGCACACGGGCATCATCAGTCAAAAAGTGCTCCTCTACCTCGCAGGTTCCCATACGGCAACGGAATCTCATGGCGACCTCTCACTCTGTTCCGGGACAACGTGTATCCCCGGAGTTCTTGGGCCTACTCCAGCAACACCATGCCAGGATGGGGGAGCATCTGCTGCATAACTGCAGGCGCCCCAGGATTAACTCCTCCTACTACAAATACAATGCAAAGGGCAAGAGGCGTCACATGCGTCCGGGCATCGATACCGCCGCCCCCCTGGAGTTCCCCTACCATATGGAAAAGGATGGCCTGGAGTATCGCAAGCGCCTCTTGCGGGGACAAGAGATAGTGATTGGTCCACCTGCACCTTTGAGATCGGAAGAGAAACCAAACTCCCACGGTCGTTATCCCTTTTCACCCAGAACCAAGCGTAATAAGAAGCGGCACGCCATGAAGAAATGTAATCAGAATAATAATATTAATGCAAAAGCCCTAAAGTTCTTAAAAGTGGATAACCTGGAGTTCCCCTCTACCACAGAAGAAGATAGAGACTGTAGTTGCAACACCTACCAGAAGAAGAGAAGCCCGAAGGACTTAAATAATAACGATAATTTGCAGGAAAGTATGGAAACGAAAACTGATAATCATCGATTGCATACCTGCAATCCTTCCGTTTTGAAACCGCCACATACATCCAGTCCTTCCGTTCCTAAACCGCCACACTTGAATGAAACTTCCCAGCTGATAAATTCCACAGACCAGTCGACAATGTGTACTTGCCCTTCTGGTAAAGAGGCAATCCCGACGATTCCAACCGATAAACCAAAAAAAAACCTCCTCATTAAATACGTCAACACTGCGTTCTTCAAGGCCATGCAAGGTTGGCGGGGAGCATTTCCACGGAATGACAGTTCTAGACATAGCAGATACAGTCAGACCCCCAGTGATGGTAACAATAAGATGGAGAAGTTCCCCACCTGCAGAAAGATCGCGTTAGAGAGTTCTGGCTGTAAGAAGCACTCGGTGGAAGGGATTCTTAGCAAAAGACCTTGTTCCAAGGAACCCGCATTCAATTCGGACTTTTGTCAAAAGAAGAAGGTTCGCATTGCGATTTCTAAGTGTTCGACAAGCGTTCCGGATCAAAAAGGGTCAAGATTGGCTAAAAGAGATGACAACATACCGAAAATAAGAGGCCATTGTCCGGATAATAGTGTAAAACCTTTGCCCTGCAAAGTATCCCCATGCACCCGGAGCGTTGCTCAACCCAGTTGTGACCACCATTTAGAGACCAACCAATCGAGGAAGGTAAGTCCTGACAACACTCGCATTTGCTGGAAAATTCTAAATGCTTGTCCACGTTCTGAAGCGAAGCCACGGGTAACTCGAACCGAATATAAGCATTCTGGCATTTGTAAAAAGAATAAGATACGAATTTCGGTTTGTAAGTTTCCGGCCGAAAGAAAGCAGACAAAAACCAACCCATGCGGGTCCAAAAAGAAACCGGGGATAAAAGAACCAGGACAAAAGAAAGAGTCGAGATTGTCGGAAAAAGAGGACGAAAGACTTAGATTTCTCTGTCCCCATTTAAAGACCAAAAGACCAGTCAACCCTCCTTATTGCAGAAAAGTGGAGAAGCCACGACATGGATATCATAACTGTAATAAACAACGGATCCCAGTTAAGCCTTCGGCCAGAAAATGTGGAACATGCTGTCCTAGATATTCCACAGAAAGTGAGGGCAGCCCGAAAGTCCATCGAAGTGGAGAGCGGTGGCTATGTAAACCTATTCCTATCCGATGTGATCCAAAGACGAAAAAATGCTTCCACATACCGCACTCCTCTGGGAACGAAATAACGGACTTCAGAAGATGGCTATGCCCAAAGTCAAATTCAGGAAGGAGGAAGATTTATACTAAAACCAGGAGAACCCCACGCAAAGGGTGTCGGGCTATAAGGAAATGTCACCACAGTGACACCTGTTCGAGTTGTGAGCAGTGCCCAGGCAAAGTGCGTCAGCAGTGCTCTGTGAAATTCCAGCGAACGGTATGGCCAACTAAACCTATTCCTATCCGATGTGATCCAAAGACGAAAAAATGTTTCCACGTATCGCACTCATCCGGGAACGAAAAAACAGACTTGATAAGATGGATATATCCAATGCCAAATTCAGAAAGAAGAAAGATTTATACAAAAACCAGGAGAACCCCACGCAAGTGTTGTCGGGCCACAGGGAAATGTCACCAAAGTGACACCAGTTTGAGTTGTGAGCAGTGTCCAGATAAAGTGCGACAGCAGTGCGCCTGTTGCGCCCAGCGCGAGCAAGGGAAACGCCACAGGGCTAAGTGTTGCTGGGAAAGAGACGAGTCGTCCGGTATTCCAAAAAAATGCAATCGCTTTCAGGAAGTGCAGTCTCCTTCAGCGTTGCGAGGACATAAAAACTACCAGCAATGTTGTCCTCATAGAAAGCGTTGGCATTGTAAACCAACATGCCAAGAAAACGGCGAAGAATTTTTCCCTTGGTCCTGTGAGCAAAGTAGCTGTGCCCCCACCGATTGCAGACAGCTTAAGAGGTACTGTGGGTCGAAAAGAATGCGGGGAGGATTCGATTTTGGAGAGGAAGACGACTTCAGTCCAGGACAAAATCGAGACTTCCCGCACAGCTTTTCAACAAGCCCGTCCTCTGATTCGGACAATTATCACCAAGTGAAATATACAAAGCCTCGGAAGTGGTCCATGCACGCCTTTTCTTTTCATTAGAGGAGTTCCTGGACATAGAGACTGACTGCCAGGGTGGGGAACCACCTGTATGCAAGCATACATAACACTCGGCCTGGCAGCCAGTCTTGCCGATTTGAAGTTTTATGTTATCACGATTAAATTTTTAATTGCTTACAAAAAACAACAGATTTTGTTACAAGAATATAAATGCAATGCTGGCGGCTGGCAGGGATCAGGACGACATCCAGAGCCTTACTCGTTGGTGAACTTGGCTGGACGCTTCTCGGCGAAGGCAGTCATGCCCTCCTTGCGATCGGCCTGGAAAATATAAACAAATCAAATAAGATTACATAACACTTTTCGTATCGGGGCAAGACCCACCGTTGAGAAAGTGGCATGGAAGACGCGACGCTCGAACTTGAGGCCCTCCTGGAGTGTGGTCTCGTAGGCGGTGTTCACGGACTCCTTGCACAGCTGCACAATCAGGTTGGAGTGGGTGCCGATCTTCTCGCCCAGCTTGACGGCTTCGGCGAGCAGCTGGTCGGCGGGCACCACCTTGCTGGCCAGACCCAGCTTCTCGGCCTCCTGTGCGCCGATCATGTTGCCGGTGAGGCACATCTCCATGGCCTTGGACTTTCCAACCACGCGGGTCAGACGCTGAGTGCCGCCGGCTCCGGGAATGGTGCCCAATGCAATCTCGGGCTGGCCGAACTTGGCCTTGTCGCCGGCATAGATGATGTCGCACATCATGGCCAGCTCGCAGCCACCGCCCAGAGCGTAGCCATTGACGGCCGCAATGATGGGCTTCTGGGTGCGGGCCACCTCGGTCCAGTCGTTGAGGAAGTTGCCCTGGATGCACTGCGAGTAAGTGTTGGGCAACATCTCCTTGATATCGGCTCCAGCGGCGAAGGCCTTCTCACTGCCCGTCAAGACAATGGCGGCGATGCTCTTGTCCTTGCCGAACTGCTGCAGGGCAGTGGACAGCTCCTTCATCAGACCGTTGCAGAGGGCGTTCAGAGCCTTGGGGCGGTTGAGGGTGATCACGGCCACATTCTTGCCCTCGCCAGCCACCTCGGTCTTGATGTACTCCCAGGTGTTGGTCGCTGTAGAGGAGCAAAAGAGAGAGATAGAGGGGTGAGCGTCATGAGGTGATCGTTGTGTTGTTACGCAATCAATGTTTTGGACCGGCGGTGGAAAAATACCCATAATCTCTGGCGAGTAGCCGGCATCTGGTTAATTGGAATTCTAGTGCCGGGTGGAGTGGAGACCGCGTGGACTTTGATCTTGTGTAAATCTCAGCTATACTTACAGGAGCTGCTGAAGCGGGCGGCCACCTGTGGCTGCCGGGCAGCTGCCTGCAGCAAACCCTGGGCACGGGAGGCGAAGATTTTAGCAACGTTTGCCATTTTCGGGAGGACTGTGACACCGGCTGCAAGTACAATTCGTTATCTAATCAAAGGGGAATTCGATCTGGAGCCACCTAAGAAGGTTACTTACGCGTTGGAGCACTGGAGCAATATGGGGGCTTTGGCGGGCAGTGTGAACGCACGTTTGTAGAACGAAAATCCCAAGAGCTAGTGATTAGTGTATCTTGGCGGTTTTTCAAAATGGAAGCAGCGACGAGCGGGATTATTATCATTTTTATTCTGTATTGTTGTTATATCCTTCCAGGGTATTATAATTTTATTTAAAATCCTTTAAATAATATATATTCTTGATCAGCATTAACAACAAAGTCGATCCAGCCGTCTTGCTTAAAATGTTGCTCTATTTTATAAGAATTGTGTAAGGAATCGTCAATAATTAAGATTAATTTAATTTAAATTTTAAATACAATATCATGATTAGTAAAGCAAAGTTTTCCGATGTGAAATTAATTGGTTAAGTTATATTAGGATTAGTTAATATAATTTAACTAGCAAACAAATATATAAATATTCTTTATTTTTTTATCGTTTAGCTTGATTTATGCCCAAGCATCCCAAAAAAAGAATGGAAAAGATAACGGTTTAAAGGACATTGCTAAGGGGAAAAATTGTGAATGTAAAGTCTCGTATTTACACATAATTTGATTATATTCAAAAAAATTTAATTATATTCAGTTTAATTAATGTTTTAAGCAAAGATATCGTAGTTTACATTATTAATAATTAGAAAATTTAGCTTTGACATCGACGAAGGCTTTCCATTGGCTGGAATTGAACTTAATAAGCTATGAACAAAATAAATAGGCATGTTTTCGTTTGCTTTAACAATTGTCCTATTCAGCTCGTATTCCGCTTTAAATCGTTTTTGCATATTAGGGTCAACCAGAGACCAATTCAAAACCTATTAGAATAGAAGGAATAGAATGGTTATGTTGAGCCTGGAACCTAGAAGATTAAAAGGTTCTTACCTTTTACTGATTTTTTACGGGCCCAATCCCAGGTGTTCGAAAAAGCAATGCCCGAAAAATACACTAGAACAGATACTTTGTTTTACACTTTTCGATTTATTCTTCTTGTCACGGCAAAGACGGAGATCATAGCCATATGCCCTATAATCTGTTTATCTACACAAATTCATAGCTTAGGGGACTCCTTCAGTCCTGTGAGAACGAATCAGAGGAGTCCAGGTAGAAGACGAACTTATTTTCCATTTCGTTTTCACAACCACACAAATAATTCATTATTTTGTTGATTATCACTACATTAACTTAAACATGAATGTTTATTTCTAGGCCTTTGGTATGTCAGGCTGTGCTGGTGGATGAGCAGTAGTGGTCTCCACCAACCATATGTGCTCTTCTCTCTGCCGCCTGCCGCTGTTATCCCGTCGAACCCGCCAAATGAAGAAAAGCAAGACGACAATCAAGAAGGAGAAAATGGTTATCACAAGGCTAAAGACGAATGCTGCGGGGGCTACAATGAAAATCGTAAAATAAATATAGTTAAAGATCGCTCTTCCTCCTCATCCCTACTTACTTTCACAGTACGGAAACTTTTCAGTCCACGTCGATCCGAAGCAAAGGTTCTCGTGCTCTCCTTTCAGAAAGTGATCCGCCGGACAGTCGTAGGAGATACGAGTACCATTGGGTACCTTTGAGCCTACATAGAGGACGGCATTGCCAAAATGCTTAACTATCACATTCGGCAGCTGGGGGACCACGCACTCCTTAACTTCCTCAAGGGGACTTGGCTTCCGCCTAATGGCCGTCGTGGAATTGATAATGGCTTTCGGTTCAGTGGTCACCGTAGTTGACCTGGCAGTTGCAGTCGGTATAACGACACCTTCGCAGAGTGAGTCCAGTTCGTCGTCGCCGCCCGGACAATCCTTGACGCCGTTGCAAAGCTTAGAGTAGGGCATGCACTGGCCGGAGGAGCAGTACAGCTCCCAGTTGTCGCAGTTGGCCTGCTGCATCTGCGCTCGGCACAACCAGCCCTCCTCGTCCGACCCGTCCACACAGTCTTGAGTGCCGTCGCACACGGCCGTGTTGGCTACACACGCTCCGTAGCTGCAGCGGAATCCGTAGCCCGGGCACCAGACCTTCTCGCACATGCCCTTCGTCTCGTCGGAGGCATCCAAACAGTCGGCCTTGCCATCGCACAGCTGATCCAATTCAATGCATTCACCGCTGTCGCATCGATGGCCGCATCTCGTAGCGTTTGGCGATGCGGAGCAGCAAGCGATCCCCGCCAGGAAGAGAAGAATCAGCAGCTGGAGAGAACGATCGTCGAACATTACTACTGCCTTTCTGTAAACAGACTGCCGGATTCCATGTTGTGGCCAGAGGGTATTATTATCGGGGTATTGAAAACCCGTTTGATGATGATATGACGATAGCTGTGCCCATGTCATGGGCTTTTCTGAGCGGCGTTGATTATTGCTTTGCGTGTATTCAGTGAGGCTGGTAGAAGCCGAGCTGATTTCATTTTATAGATAGGCTAAACTCCCATATATAATTTTGATTTTGCACTAGCGCTTCCGTTGTAAACTGTTTACAGAATTAAAACTTTATTTATCTGCTTTCAAAATCCATATCTTACTTTATTTCTCATTCAAGGCGAGTATACTCATGTTAGTTAGAACAAAGTGCTCTTTTTTTATAATTGAACGCATTAATTATAAAGAAGAACATATCCTAGGCGGGGTTAGTGGGGTACGAAATATAAATACAGCTCGGAAATTGCTGTGGCCGGAAACAAAAAACTGCAAGTACTTAAATTAATCTTAAGTAACACGTCAAAAGCTTTCCCAAGGGCGGAAAGGCCCCGTTATTTCTTGTGCGCAGACTGAGGTGGCGGCGTGCCATAGAACTTGCGCTTCTTTATGGTGCCGCCCTTGAAGGGAGTGGCTGCAAGGAAACAGTGTCTTAGAAAAGGCATCTCTTTTTACCCCAATATAAATAACTTACCATATAGCGAAAGCAAGTCGTGCTTGCTACTGGGCACTCGCTTAAGCACTGTCGCTGGCGTGGCGGTCATGTCGATGGCTATGTACTGCTCCCAGAACGAAGCAGACAGCTCGAGCAGCGCCTTCATCACCTGCTTCTGGGTGAAGACCTCCGTGTATATGGCGTGGGGATCGGGATCCGCCGATGAGTAGCCCACAATGGTGGGGCCAAAGATGAGCGCGATATTATCGATGGGCATCAGCACCACGGGACACTCGGCAATGCGCTGGAAGTGCAACACGAGGAAGGCCAGCGTGTCCCGGTTGGCCTGCGGCAGCTGCTTCACCGACTTGCACAGCATATCCTGAGCCGCATTGACATCCGGATTCTGCACGGCGTTGGCGAAATCCTTCCACTGGCTGGTCGGGATGAGGGGTTCTGTCAGGGACCTGAGGAAATCCTTGACACAACAGCACAGCACATAGACGTCTGTGTTGCCCAAGTGAGGCGTGGTCTTCCCCCGCAAGAACTGCTCCTTAAGTGCTTTGTACTCGCGCTCCGATGACGAGGCTCGATACAGGCCCACCTCGGTGAGGCCACGTGCTTCGATCTCATTAACACAGTGCACGATCAGGGCCGGAATCATGGGTGCAATGGACGGGGCAAAGTCGCTGACGTAGCCGGTCAGCGTCTTGGCTGTGGGCGTTCCCGTCTGAGGAACACAGCTGACGGTTAGCAGATACCAGCAGTCGAGGTGACAGCGTACCGGGCAATCCCGGCAACGCAGGCCAACTGATCCAAATCGAATTCTGCAAAGACAGGGAATATTTTTGAAAATGTACTTTACTTTTGTGAAAACGTTAGGCTTACCGCTTCTGACACTGCACACAGTTATCGCCGCGCAAGAAAGTTTTTTGGGTGAAGCTGTGCTTCCTCATCAGCGGACGGTGCTGGGTCGGAGTGGCCGAGTCGGCGGCCAGCAGAGGAATCTTCTTGTTCAGAGGCGTCAGCGGCGGAGCATTTGGCTCTTTTAGTACCGAGCGACGCGGCGTTGAGGACAGGCCGTCGCCTACCCTATCCGGGCCGCCAATTAACGGCAGGGACTCAATGGTCGACTCTGCCCGGATCACGCCCTGCCCGTCCTGGGGTATGGTGACCTTGGTGGTGGCACAAAAGCGCTCAGCGCCCTGACCCACGTCCACAGTGTGCTGCTCCACTCCGATACCGGCGCCCGAGCGCCGTGTCTTGGTCGTCGTGGTTGGAGTATTCACCGACATGCTGCCATTCAGTCCTGAGCTGAGGCGCGATCTTTTGTTTCCCACACTTGGAATTGGGTTCTTGGGCAGCGAGGGACGATGCTCACGCCAGGACTTGGATCTGCGCACGTCCAGGAAGTCGTCCTCAGAGTGCGTGATGGATAGATCGGACAGCAGCGAGCCGGTGGAGTTGATGTCGCCATACGACTTGTCCTCGCGAACTGTATTCAGGGATTTCCGCTTCCTGGAGGAGGGCAGCGTGTTAAGGAAGGCCAGCTTGTCGCGAGTCTCGTTGTTCAGATTGCGCTCGTGGCGCAGCAGATCCGCCACTGCCATGATCTTGCTCTCCATGGCGTCGCGCTCGTGCTCAGCCTGGCGACGGGCCTTCATTTCCGTATCAATGATACGACGGGCGTGAAACAGCTTGCCCTCCAGATCGCCCATCTTGGTCAGCGACTTGTCCAGCTCGCTTTGGATCCTTGCCGTCTCCGCCGCGTAGCCAGCGCACTTCTCCTGGTAATGCTCGAAGATACGCAGGAACCGAAGGAACTCTATGGCGACAACGCAGTTGTAGGTACTCTCACTCGTACCGCATCCGGTTACATTTACTCACCCTCCTCGGCCGTTCCGTCGGTCAGTACCTGCATGCAGCGTCGCAGATCATCATACGACGCCAAGGCGGAGAGCTCCATTTTCCGTATGATCTCTATAGCTACGGATGCAATTTCACGTTCACGAGCCCGTGCCCTAGGTTTCTTTTTTCCACAATAATTTTATTTTAATTTCACAGTAAATGCGTGGCGAAGGAAGCACGCTGCAAAGGACGCGATAAAATTTTCAGGTTCCGTTGTTTTCAAATTGACGCCTTCCCGCGGTGTGACCGTTTGCCGAACGATCGAAAACACCGTAGAGCCGTCAAGTACGCGCGAAAATATCGGTATGAAGAATGTATAGAGAAATGTTTTTACATGGACAAACATGTCAACAAAACCATAAAATAGCCTGGTACTAATATTAACGAAAATCGATTCCCTTGACTGAATTACTGAAAATATCTTCAAGATATCGCGATAGTTAGTTGATATTTTCAGCAGTTTGTATGGGAAAAGTAAGAGCTAAATTTCGTAATATAACCAACGCGTCGTTGACCAAAAAGCAACGAGCTGTGATTTTTCTAACAAAATCAACACAATATTTGACATTGATTTAGAGAACTTTAGCCACACTCTCTTTTTAGTCAATCAGTCAATATTTTAAAAAATATATAATAAAAATATCGTATAAGCTGTTTTTAATTGCCGATATTTTCAATCATGCATCTTTGTGAAACAGTTGGGATTTTTTTGCAGATATGAAACTCGTGTTCCCACAGAGCAACATTTTAATCTGATGCGCTTTTGTTGGCGATAGTTTTTCGTTGCAACTCTCATTACTTCTTTTTAATTGTAAAGTAAAGCATGCCTAAAAAACTCGTTACTTTTTTCCTGAATATTCTTGTCCCATATTTTCTCAAATTGCTACTATTTAATAAAAACGACTACTTCAATTTTATTGTTTTATTTTTTAGCTCTTGGGAGCCTATACCACCATGCGCCGTGTTCTGGGCCAAATGCCCAAAGAGAAAAATTAAAGAAAATTAGAGAAACTAAAATTCCTCGCATTCTAATTCATTTTACTTTGGTTGGTACTGTTTATATACATATACTTTTATTTATATCGACGACTTCAAGTATTCTTTAGAGACGTGCTAAAAAAAATCCAAAGATTTCCAAGAATCTTAAATATTCCAATTTATCAATAAATCCTTATAAATTAATAATAGCATTGGAAAATAATATTTAATTCAGCATTTAGATGTATTGGCCTAATAAATATCAGCACAGAAAAGCTTTCACAACTGAAACTAATGACTTATTTAAATTTGATTTTTTTTTTACAAAATTATATAAAAAATATAGATTTAAATAGTGTGAAATAAATCAAAATATATTATTATTTATTACTCATAGAAATACCATAGCTTAAATATTTAATTAAATACATATTTGTTGTAGCTACTATGAAGTTGTGAAGTTTCCTTATTTAACCTTTAGCTTTTTTATTTCCGGAATACACAATTTACTGTCAAAGTTTATTTAAAACATACGTCAACTAAACAAATAATTTAATATTTGTAACATATCGTGACAACCCATAAAATCGTGATACTCGACAACTCTGAATCGAACAGTGCTGCAAAACGTCCTACGGTTTCCGCGGAAACCATTTCTTGGATTTGCATTTGCTTTGAGATCGAAAATGTCTGTTCCCTCGCCAAATCCCACTGTGATTCTCCAAAGTAAGCGCTTTAACGCTTTGCGCAATGTCCTGGAGCGCGAGGGACCCTTCTGCAAAGACGACTTTTCGTCGTCGCCTGACAACTTGGAGTTTCTGCAGACCAAGTGCAAGGTTCTGATCATCGGAGCCGGCGGTCTGGGATGCGAGTTGCTCAAGGATTTGGCTCTGATGGGCTTCGGTAACCTTCACGTCATCGACATGGACACCATCGAGCTATCCAATCTGAACCGACAGTTCCTATTCCGGCGGACAGACATAGGGTCCTCCAAAGCTGAGTGTGCGGCTCGATTTGTCAACGGACGAGTGCCCACTTGCCGGGTGACCCCACACTTCAAGAAAATTCAGGATTTCGACGAGACCTTCTACCAGCAGTTCCACCTCATTGTCTGCGGCCTAGACTCAATTGTGGCCCGCCGCTGGATCAACGGCATGTTGCTCTCCATGCTGCGATATGAGGACGATGGCACCATAGATACCAGCTCCATCATACCCATGATAGATGGCGGCACCGAGGGATTCAAGGGCAATGCCCGCGTTATTCTGCCGGGCTACACAGCCTGCATAGAGTGCACCTTGGACCTGTTTCCACCGCAAGTCAACTATCCACTGTGCACCATTGCAAACACACCGCGACTGCCTGAGCACTGCATTGAATACGTAAAGATCATACAGTGGGACAAGGAGAGCCCCTTTGGCGTCCCACTCGACGGCGACGATCCCCAGCACATCGGATGGGTGTACGAACGCGCCTTAGAGCGAGCCAACGAATTCAACATCACCGGCATCACCTATCGCTTGGTCCAGGGCGTCGTCAAGCACATTATTCCCGCCGTGGCCAGTACGAACGCGGCAATAGCTGCCGCCTGCGCCATGGAGATCTTCAAGCTGGCCACCAGCTGCTACGACAGCATGTCCAACTACCTGAACTTCAACGATCTGGACGGGATCTACACCTACACCTACGAGGCTGAGAAATCGGAAGGTTGTTTGGCCTGCAGCAACACGCCCCAGCCGCTGCCCGTGGAAGATCCAAATACCACCACTTTGGAGGACGTAATCAAGCTGCTGTGCGACTCGCCTCGCTTCCAGCTCAAGAACCCAGCGCTCACCACCGTGATGAAGGATGGAAAGCAGCGAACGCTGTACATGGCCACGGTGAAGAGCATTGAGGAGGCCACGCGGAAGAACCTGACACAGTCGCTGGGCGAACTGGGCCTGCAGGACGGCCAGCAGTTGACGGTAACGGATATCACCTCGCCCTCTGCCATGACCCTACAGCTGAAGTATCAGGCGAACGAGGTAGAGATGGTCTAAGTTGTATTGAATCACAGTAGGCAACAATTTTACATGTAAATAAAAATGCCGCAGGCTCAGCCTCCAGTTGCACAGTTACTCGCTCATGTCCAGGATGTATTTCTTGCCAGTGAATCCCTTGAAGTTCAGGGCTGCGGCAGCCGCATCCTTGAAGTTCTTTAGCGGCACCATCTCGTGGGTGGGGGCCACAAACTTGCCCTGCTCCATGAGATCAAAGATTTCCTTGAACATCTTGGAGCGTTCGGGAGAGCTGTAGTTCTCTTTGGACCAGCGCGTCATCCAGAAACCTCTAAATGCAATGTCCTTGAAGATAAGGGGCCCGGTGGCCACAGTGACGGGCTCCCGGGACATGCCGCCATAGGTGACCAACACACCACCGTGGTCTAGGTGTCGAGACACTTCTGTGGCGCTCTTGCCACCCACGCAATTGAAGGCAAGGCGAGGCTTCTTCATCTTGCCAGACTTGAAGATGTCACTGGTGCGGATTTCTGCCTCGGTCAGCACCGCGGTGGCCCCGAGGCACTGCAGCATCTGCTTTAAATCGGCAATCTCCGGCCGGTCTCGGACGATGCCAATGCTATTGATGCCCCAGGCGCGGCACAACTGATGCACCGCCTGCCCCACGGCGCTGTTGGCTCCGTTCTGGATGACCGTGTCACCAGGCGACAATTTCACGAAATCCTTGAGCATGCGATAGGCCGTGCAGGGATTCACCGTAACGGTGGCCGCCTCCGCCACGCCCACCTTGTCAGACACGGCCATCAGTTGGTCCTCGTTGTACACCGCATGGGTGGTCCAAGTGCCCAGGCCGGTGGCCAGGGGAATGACATGCTGGCCGGCCTTTAGATCCTTGACCTGCTCACCCACACAGAGGACTTTGGCCACACACTCGTTGCCGCCGACAGCTGGAAACTTGGGTTTTACGGGATATTTGCCTGTGCGGGATAAATAGCGGGGAATTAAAGGAGCTCCATTGCGTGCTTCAGCTCACCTTGGATGGTGTTTATGTCTGCTGGATTAATTGGTGCCGCCAAGATCTTCACCAGCACTTGTTTGTCTTTCGGGTCGGGCAATTCACTCTCCACTAGCTCCAGTACATCCTGCGGCTCGCCGTGCTGTGTGTACTTCACGGACCTGGCCAATACAGACATCTGCCGGCTCCAGAGGGCGGACTTCACAGGCAGAAGCGTTCTACGCAACATTATTTACCTAAGATTTCCAGCCGTTCGAGGGTTAAAATTGACAAAAGTGTTATGCCGGCCGGTGTGACCTTAGCTATGCGATGGCTAAAAATATGTTTCTGTTTAATAAAGCCAGGGATTTGTTTGTTATGTCCTGCTTTTCGCGCGTTCGTTGCCGGCTAGGCAAAGTCTCTCTCAAGGAGGGGAACGACCACAAATATATCACGCAGCAGACACAACAACAACAACAAAACGGAATTTCAAACTTGGACAACGGCTAACATTTTGGCAACGGATTTTTGTAACTTCTGGATTGGACTACCTGGCTCATCCGTAGTCCTTGGAGTCCCTCCCAACCATGAGTGTATCCTCCGACACATCTCCCAAATTGTTATAGTGGATCGCATCTGCTCAAATCATCACATCCCCCCCAACACGAATGTCTACTCGAACTTCATTTCGATCACTTCACTATATTTTCATTTTTTGTCTTAAATTCTAACATAGAAATATCCTACCCACGGTACCGAAGGACTTCATACAAGGAACATTTATAAATAAATACATAAATAAATAATTTAATAAATACGAATTAACAACCATGTGACGATTAATGTTTTAGATGAATTAACAGATATGTTGAATAAATATGACTTAAATTACTTTATATTTTTCTGTGAGCTACATTTCCTTTGTTTTTTTGCTGGCGGTTGTATGTGTTTTTTTGATAATTATATTTAGGGATAAAAACCTGTGGCCACCCAGGAAGGAGTGGCCAATTTTTCTCCTCGAAAAGTCGTCTTCTTCCTGGTGGCTGATCTTCCTGTTTTTTTTTCCCAAATATCGTTCCTGGTCCAGGATTATTCACTCCGGAATATGCTATAATTAATTAGACTAGGATTTTTGTTCTCACTAGAATATCTTGTCACAACTCACTGGTAGAAACTCGTTTTTCTTTTTTTTTTTTCAATTGCGTAATTTTGCTGCTAATCGAACCGCCTGCTGCCACGGATCTTCGCCCTTTACTTCACCTTTGCCTTTTTCCTAAGCCTCTCTTAATCCCAAAAACCACTCAAAATTTCTCGGGTTCAAACTTTGGTTCCGATTTGGAGTCATCCGGTTTAAGGAACCAGTTCCGTATTGGACTCAGTTACCCGACTCCCTGGACTCACGAGTCGTCGATGACCGGTTATCGGACATACCGATCATCTGGCTTTTGGTAAACAATTTTTTATATTTCTCCTTTTTTTAGAGTTCGCACATAACAAGCACACTACGGTTCCGACGCTTGTCTCGGAACAGGAGTGGAGGATGTGCGTCCGTGATGCGTTGTACTGCCCAACGTAGGCCATCGCCCACATCCCTGAGATTCATGCCAGATGAGTGATTTGCTAGCCGGGCACTATTGCTTAAGGTCCTTTGCGTGGAAAACTCCCAGAGGATTGCCGTCCAAGTTTTCCAAAGCGTACAACGAATTTCCCAACGCTTTAGTTACTCGGCATTTAGTGTACTTTCGGCAAAACTTGGAGTTTCGATTCTTGCTAAAGTCACTCAGTATAAAGTTCCTCTTGTAAATCTCTTGTCCCGGTGAGTATCGAATTTCTCGTGCTTTTAAATTGTAGGTCTTGGCAGCTTTCTCGTAGGCCTGATGTATTCTTTCCTTTATTTTCTCCCGATACAGCTGTAGTCGTTCAGATCTGGGCAATTGGGTTATCTCCGCTTCATTGAGAGCCTTCAGTTTGCGAGCAAGCGAGTAATCTTTCCCATGTGTGAACATATGCTGTCCAAACATGGCAAAGTATGGAGACGTTCCGGTGCTGTTATGTACAGATGACCTCAGTGACGCTTGTATATCGGCCAGGTGTTCATCCCATCGTGTGTGGTCGTCCTGAACGTTCACTCGAATTGCTGCTAACACGGATTGATTCACTCTCTCCGAAGCGTTGGATTGTGGTGCGTATCTCCCCGTTTTCAAGTGCGTAATTCCGTATTCTTGCAGCATATTCTCAAATTCCTTGGAGATAAACTGTCTACCGTTGTCCGTGTGTATTGTTTCTGGAACTCCGAATTGGGTGAATATATTTTCCTGCAGGAATCGAATCACCGCTGTTGATGTGGCTTTCGGCATCTCTTTCAGCCACACAAACTTGGTTAAATGGTCTAGTGCGATGAACAGCATTGTATTTCCTCGGCGGGATCGCGGATATTTTCCTAGGAAATCCAGGTACAACTTTTGCATGGGTCGATCCGTCTGCACTTCCTTTCCCATTATTGGCCGTTTTATCTGCGTTGTGTGTTTGTTCTCCTTGCAGTTTTCACAGGCTGCCACGAATTCTCGGACTTGAACTACCATTTTGGGCCAATAATACATCTGTTGGAGTCTCGCTAAAGTCTTTCCCATTCCTCCGTGCATTGCCATATCGCCGTAGTGAGCCTGCTGGATTAGAGTTGTCGTCAGAGCTTCCGGAATCCATAGTTTCCATTCAAACTCGTCGCTTTCTTCTCTGTAAAAATTGGTCTTTTTGAAGAGAAGTCCTTCTTCCACACGTAAGTCCGGAAACTTATCTTTTCCCTGTTCTTCAATTAATTGAATTCTTTCCAGATATTCAGGACTCTCAAACTCCGTTGTCTCAAAATCGAAGAACTCCAATTCGGCGGCCTCGTTCGGTCGAGATAACATGTCCGCCACGATGTTGTCTTTCCCTTTCCGGTGCTCGATGTTAAAATCAAATGCCTGCAATGCTAATGACCACCGCGCCAGTCTTCCGTTCAAATCTTTGAGTGTCATGAGCCATTGAAGGCTTGCATGATCGGTCACGATAGTAAACGGCATCAATTCCACATACGGCCGGAATCTTTCCACTGCTTTTACGGCTGCGAGGCACTCTTTTTCTGTCACGCTGTAATTAAGTTGTGCTCCTCTTAGCTTCGCCGAATAGAAAGCTATTGGTCGGTCCGATCCCTCTCTATCCTGTTGGAACAACACTGCCCCAATTCCTACGTGGCTGGCGTCACACTGGATCCAGAAGTGTTTCCCGAAGTCTGGATGAGCCAATACGGGCGCACAGGTCAGTGCTCTCTTTAGCTTTTCAAATGACATAGTCGCTTCCTCCGTCCAAGTAAATTTGGTTTTATTTTTCAGGCAGTCGGTGAGCGGCGCACTGAGTCCGGAGAAATTCTGGATAAACCTGCGATACCATCCTGCGGTTCCTAAGAAGCTGCGTAGCTGTCGCGCATTTTTGGGCACTTCGATTTTCAAAATCGCTTCAACTTTCTTCGGGTCTGTTCGCAAGGCCCCGTCACCGATGATGTATCCTAAATATCGCAAGTATTTGAAGCAAAATTTTGATTTGTGTAGGCCAATCGTCAAATTTGCTTTACTCAAACACTCGGCCACTTCTTTTAGCAAAATGCAGTGTTCATCGAATGTTTTGGATATCATCAGCAAGTCATCCAAGTAAACGAAGACGTGGCTGCGGAGACGCTGTGGGATTACCTTATCCATTACTCTGCACAACCTTTGAGCCGAATTACACAGGCCGAATGGCATCCGTCGAAACTGATACAGTGGCCTTCCGGGTATGGTGAAAGCAGTTAAGGGACGACTTTTTTCATCGAGTTCGACTTGCCAGAAGGCGTGCTTCAGGTCGATGCTGCTGATGAAAATCGTCTCATCTACTCGGCTCAAGATCGACTCAATGTTCTGCAATGGGTAAGCATCCTTCACTGTAAGTGTATTTAATTTTCTCGCGTCTAAACACAGTCTATTCTTCCCAGGTTTCTGTACCAGTGTCGTTCGGTTATTCCAGGGACTTTCACTTAACTCGATGACTCCTAGTCGCAGCATCTCATCGATTTCCGTGAACAGTAGTTGCTGTTTTGCCGGAGAAACTGGAAAGACTCTCTCCTTGATGGGTACGGCTCCTTCAACTAACTGGATCGAGTGCTCTTCCACTTTGGTGAGTCCTAATCCTTGACTTTCGTATGTCAGAAACTGTCCTTTTGCTTCTTCCAGCTGTTCAGCTTGTTTCGGGGTTAGAACATGTGCCTCTATCGGTTCTCCTTTGGCCATGACTTCGGCTTCCACCTGGTGTAAGGATTCTACACCCACTACCTCTGGTGCCAGTTGGAATTTCCTCCAGAAATCTATCCCAAGATACAATTTTTGCTTCAAGGAAGGACAAAGGAGTATCGGCAATCGATGTGTTATCCCATTGTACGAGATGTTGGGTTGAATTTTTCCCACTACCCGATGCTGCGTACCTCCTGCTGATTTCATTATCGATCGCGCTTTCTCTAATCTCAGTCCTATCCTTTCCACTATTTCTAGGCAACCTTCCCCGAGCAAGCTGACTGATGCCCCGGAATCCAAAAGCCCCACGATCTCCAGGTCTTCTATCCTGACCTGGGCGAATGGTCTATTATCGCCTTCCACCGCAGCTCTGATGGCCGAACACACCATCCTTCTTTCCGCTTTCCGCTGCTGACCTCTTCTGCGGGCTCTTGCGACTTTCGGAGAAATGTGCTGTTCTGAGCTGTGTGTTCCCCATATACGTTTTCGGACCTCTTGGTAATTTGCTTCTCGTACTGCTATAGGCTCACGTTCCGACCATTTCATGCTATGGCTTGGTTTATTTATATTTAATAGAATCCTACTAATTTTATTTTCCTTACAGCTATTCTTATCCTTAGGCATGCAATTTGACGAGGATTTCATTTGTTCATTGCAAACGGATTGGAGCGTGGTTCCTCGTTCTTGACCACTCTCCTCCCACCGTTTCCCGTTTGGCATCGCGTGCATCTGGGAGTCCTCACTCCTGGGAGTCCACACTTGAAGCAGAAAACCTTCAACACCTCCGATTCACACGCATTGAATGCATGTCCAACGGTTCCACAATTCCAGCAGGTAAGTGGCGGTCGTTCTCTGAGGTTCTCCCAGTGTCTCGTTAAGGCTTCCACTTCCTCCTGATCCACAGGTTCACTTTCGTCTCCGATTGGTTCTGGACAAAGCTCATCTACCCTCGGACGATCCTTATATCCCCGGTGAGCTTCGAAGTTGCTTGGCTGTCTGGTCCATCGAGTTGCCAGGATTCTTTCCGCGTCGTGGCATTCGTGTCGGAGTTGATCCAGGTTGGTAATATAAATCGGGTATATGATTTTCGAAATTTGATCCCTAATGTTCATCTTTATCACCTTTATTAGATCAAAATCGGAAAACGGCATCTCTAGTCGCGATCGGAGAGCGAGCATGGTCTGGATGTATACTTCTATGGTTTCTCCTGGCTTCTGCTTCCGTTCTCTTAGCTCGTACTCTCGCTCGAAATTGGATCGGTGACTCTGGAACTGCTGCTGTAGTGCATATCTCAGGTAAGGCCACTCTTGCTTCTCCGTCGATCTCACGTACATCCAGTACCATTCCTTGGCTTGTCCTTCCACTAATACGTGAAATTCCCTTAGGACTTCCTTCCACGGCACCTGATACGATCGCTGGAGATGCTCGAGGCGGAAAATAAATTCAGACACTGGCATACTCCTTGGACTTCCGTCGAAACTAAGCCCCCACTTACGCAGCTGACCTACATGAAACACGGAATCACCTGTTGCCCCGCTTGTTCGTCGCGGATCCTGTCCTGGATTGGCGTTTTGCTGTGTCCCCCCGTTTCCACTAGGATATTCTGGCGGTGTCGGGTGAGACCCATTCCCTCTTCTTTGCTCATGCTCCGTCGACCAGGCGGTTTGCCGAAACCCTTCTGAAGCGTGCCGATTCACCTCCTGCTTTTCGGATAACGCCCCAGAGTTTGGCGGCGGGAATCCCATTTGGTGTCGTAACCCCGGCACCATGTTTGGTGGAGGTTGCTGTAGCATCCTCGGGTCGAAAGGTGGCAATGGATTTAACAGCGTCTGTGTTGCTACCCCTAACAGTGGCTGCATCTGCGTACCCGAAACTTGACATTGTCCCTGTGTGACTTGTTGCAGTTGAGCCTGCCGAACCTGCGTAGATGCCTGCACCGCTGCGTTCTGTTTCAAGACATCTCGGCGAAACTCCGCCATGCAGTCGTTGATGTCCTTCATGAACTGCATCATATCCTGCTGCATCTGCCGTTTGAACGCATCGTACTCTGATGACATTCCCACCTGGTACGTCTGATGTGCCTGAAACAATGCTGCATTGACTCCTGACGTTATCTCCGAGGGGAGAGCCTTCGGTATGGCCCCGGTTCCGCCTACCGATTGGTGACCGCTTGCTTCTCCAGGACTTCCACTTCCCATTCCTTCCTGAGTCTGATCCCTTATCGATTCCATACCTTCGGGTGCCGATACGTTCTCCAATTTCTCCTCTTGGTTGCTTTGTGATCGCGTTTTTGCCGGGGTCATACTTGCTGGTACCCTATTCCGGATGAACTCCAAACTTCTCCTCAGTTTTCTTCCGATTTGTATTCTCTCCCTTTCACTCTTTTGCATACCCTAACTTCTTTTCTATTTATATTTTATTATTTCAGCTTCCTTCACAATTTTCTACTATGGGGGGGGATGAGACGTCGCTATTTTTACTACCCACTAACTTTTCTCTCCTTTCCTTCAGTTCCTAATCCGTTGTAAATATATTTATCTTTTTTTTTCAAACTTTATTAATTTAATTTAATTTTCCTTTTTTTTCAGCCTACGCTTGCAACTGTTGGGCATCGATGTCACACCTTCTTGCCCGTGTACATGGACCACAACAATTCCAAACAAAGACAACAGACTTAGATAAGTTATTACAAATTTACTTTTTGACAGACAACATATTAAAAAGGATAATTGTTTCTTTTCATTTAAGCTCGGTGCACCTTCTAGTCTGGCTTCGCATGAACCGTGCTTAATCGGTCATGGGTCCACTTCTAGTGGTTCAACGGACTGTGCTCTGCAGAAAAATAAATTCTCGGAATATTCCGCACTGTGGCTACGCTGAGTTTGACCTTTTGGCCTGCTCATGGTCCAAACAGCGGGGTTCCGATTTCTACTTCTCCCGGCACATAATCCTGGTGTGTATTCACTTATTTATTTACGTTACTTTTGACTTTAATTTTTTTTTGATTCCATTTCATTAATTTTTTTTATATTTTCTTTGGGCGCCATTTGTTATGTCCTGCTTTTCGCGCGTTCGTTGCCGGCTAGGCAAAGTCTCTCTCAAGGAGGGGAACGACCACAAATATATCACGCAGCAGACACAACAACAACAACAAAACGGAATTTCAAACTTGGACAACGGCTAACATTTTGGCAACGGATTTTTGTAACTTCTGGATTGGACTACCTGGCTCATCCGTAGTCCTTGGAGTCCCTCCCAACCATGAGTGTATCCTCCGACACATCTCCCAAATTGTTATAGTGGATCGCATCTGCTCAAATCATCACATCCCCCCCAACACGAATGTCTACTCGAACTTCATTTCGATCACTTCACTATATTTTCATTTTTGTCTTAAATTCTAACATAGAAATATCCTACCCACGGTACCGAAGGACTTCATACAAGGAACATTTATAAATAAATACATAAATAAATAATTTAATAAATACGAATTAACAACCATGTGACGATTAATGTTTTAGATGAATTAACAGATATGTTGAATAAATATGACTTAAATTACTTTATATTTTTCTGTGAGCTACATTTCCTTTGTTTTTTTGCTGGCGGTTGTATGTGTTTTTTTGATAATTATATTTAGGGATAAAAACCTGTGGCCACCCAGGAAGGAGTGGCCAATTTTTCTCCTCGAAAAGTCGTCTTCTTCCTGGTGGCTGATCTTCCTGTTTTTTTTTCCCAAATATCGTTCCTGGTCCAGGATTATTCACTCCGGAATATGCTATAATTAATTAGACTAGGATTTTTGTTCTCACTAGAATATCTTGTCACAACTCACTGGTAGAAACTCGTTTTTCTTTTTTTTTTTCAATTGCGTAATTTTGCTGCTAATCGAACCGCCTGCTGCCACGGATCTTCGCCCTTTACTTCACCTTTGCCTTTTTCCTAAGCCTCTCTTAATCCCAAAAACCACTCAAAATTTCTCGGGTTCAAACTTTGGTTCCGATTTGGAGTCATCCGGTTTAAGGAACCAGTTCCGTATTGGACTCAGTTACCCGACTCCCTGGACTCACGAGTCGTCGATGACCGGTTATCGGACATACCGATCATCTGGCTTTTGGTAAACAATTTTTTATATTTCTCCTTTTTTTAGAGTTCGCACATAACATGTTTTAACTTACAACGCCTATATGTTGCTCTTTGGACTATTTGTATTATTAATAATGTTATTGTCACGATTCTAATCTATTTTATCTCCATTTAAACTAGCATTTTTGCGTTAGAGAACCCGCACCTTGGTATTTTCGCAGTAACGGCGAACGGTCGCCGTGTTTGTCGCAAAATTTTAGGTGTCTCAAATCGATATTTTTTACAGAAATCCCCGAAAAACTCAAAAACTGAATTAAATACTGGCCAAATGGACGCGTAAGTACAGATAACATGGAAAAATCCTGGCTATCCTGTGACGTTTGTTGGTTTCTCGCAGTTTACAAGACGAGGTGGAGTCGCTGGAGGCAATCCTCATGGAAGATGTTTGCATCAAACGCACGCCCAGGTAGGTGAATCGCAGGCCGACTGTGTTTGCAACACTAAACCGAGCTTCTTTTTTCCAATGAAGCGGAGGGGTGGATCTGATCGAGACGACGGTGCTGCCGTTGACCGGCGAGGAGGAGGAGCAGCAGTACGTGTGCGTCACCTTGCAGGTGTACCCGACGCCTGGTTATCCGGATGCGAGTCCCACATTCAAGCTGCTGCGTCCGCGGGGACTGGACGACGCCCGGCTGGAGGCCATCAGGAGCGCCTGCAACGCCAAGATCAAGGAGTCGCTGGGCTTTCCGGTCGTGTTCGACCTAATCGAGGTGGTACGCGATCATTTGACCGGCAGCAACCTGCCCAGCGGCCAGTGCGTGGTCTGTCTGTATGGATTTGCCGAGGGCGATGAGTTCACCCGCACCGAGTGCTTCCACTACCTGCACAGCTACTGTCTGGCCCGCCACTTGAACGCCCTGAGGCGTAACTACCAGGAGGAGTTCGACAAGCTGCCCAATTGGCTGCAAAAGACCGCCGATCCCTTCCAGGCCCTGTGCCCCGTCTGCCGGGAGCACATCGGCGACGATTCCGACAGTCTTAAGTGCGCCATGCCGCCGTCGGAGCTGACCAATGCCCCCGACTTTAAGGTGACCGAGGAGCTGCGCCAGATGCAGCAGCGTATGTCGCAGCTGTATTTGCAGCAGAAGAGCCGTGGCGCGATCATCGACGTAAAAACCGATGGAGCTGCCGTGATCTCCATTGAGACCGAAGAGGATATACGTCGCCGTAGGCGTCGCGAGGAGGCGGAGGCTGCACGGAAGCTGGAGGGCCCTTCCAAGGAGGAGGTTGCCAAACCCACCACTAGCACAACCACCACCTTTGCGCCCGTGGTTCAGGAGACACAACGCATCACGCCGGAGCCGACCAACAACAACTATCAGCACCACAATCGACGGCACTATCGTGGCGGAAGGCGTCACCACCACCATCATCAGCACGGCCATCATCGGGCTGATCGCGATCGCGACCAGAACTCTGGAGCAGGCGCAGCCCCGGCCAGCGGCGGAGGCAACACTTCATCGAATACAGGGACCGGCAAGCAGGCAAAGGCCCAGACAGCCAGCTCCGGACTTGCCAGGTGACGATGGCTTCCGGAAGAGATGGGCAGCCGGATACCCATTGCGCTGCCATGCTGCTAATATACAATGAAGCACCCCCAACCGCACCCCCCAGCCCGAACGGCCCAGAATTAGTTTCGTGAGGCGCGCGCACTCATTTCTGTGAATTCCTACGTTCGTATGTATGTATTTATGTTTAGTTAGCTTTAGCTTTTAGCGAGCCGGGTTAGCTAATTTCGATTGTAATACTTAGAGGCGATATTTTAGTTTGTATCTTAACTGTAATGATGTATTTGTAATGGTTTACAAGACTTGCGGCCTTGAGCCGAATCGATATTACGACGAAGATTGAGTGAGTAGGGCGTTTGATAGCTAGCGACAGCGAGCCTGTATGTATTTAGCAGCACCAACTGGCAGCGCTGGCGTTGACACCACACAGCATTGCGATGATGATCCCGGAGACTGCGACGACGATGATGATATTGATATCCACTTACGCATAATCTGCAAGCAGCACCTTGAAGTTTAGCATAAATATATGTAGATCCCTCTCTGGCAGCCAGCAGCACAAAAGGAAACGTAGAACCCAGCTTAAGCGGCATTTCTAGTCAGTGAATGGAGAGGAGCCCGACATACAGGGCGTTTGCATTAGCATGCACACACATATTTAATAACTATCACAGTTAATTGAGTGTCTCTGTGTAGGAAAACCAAGTAGAGATCGAACCGTACTATATCGAAAATTCAATTTCAATGTGTCAAATAATGAATACTACTATTGAGAAAACTTTAATAAAAACGTAAATCGAATTTGGAAGTCAAACGCTGTGTATTCTGTGTATATTGCTTTCCGGGGGACCACCAATTGAAATGCTTTTGTAATTATGTTGTTATTTTTTGTAAATGTTTTTATTTCGCATTTAAATTTGTTTTAATTGAATAGAATTACAAAAACGTGTTTTAATGCATTTTCTTTCGTTTCGTACAACAAAATAATTTAGTATTAGTATTTTACAATATTTATATAACCGGGGGCTTCGTTTCTTCTTCTTCCCCTCATTCTCTGCCGTATTGCAAATAAAAAACAAAATATGTATGCAATACAAAAAATCTGTGTTGGTTGCTTTCATGCTTAACAGCTAAATTAATTAATTAAACTTACAGTAATGACTTTTAGTATATAATTAAATATTGTTTCTCATTTCTTTACGCGGCTTACAATTTCACTTTTCTATTAGTTTATAATAACAGAACAAAATCAAATTTTAATCCTCTTTCAACGGGGTTTTAGTTATTTTTTTGACCGTGCCACCCTCTGCCACGACCCCCCTCGTCCCACAGTCATCCATCGAACTGGCGATTCCGATAGAGACCGCAGGAGTCTAGGGGTGCAACAGAAAGGCGACGGCCGACTTTTCATTCGAATGTGTTTTTTGTATTTTTTTTTCTAGGTTTTCTTTTCAATATGTTTCCTTGTTCGTATTATAATTTTTTAATTGCCTTAGAGCACTTGGAGTGTATTTTTCATTAATTTACGCTTGCTTCTCTCTCCTCTCCTCTATTTAAGTATATACAAATCATAATTTTGGAAACTAGTAGTGTGTACAACTAGAGCGAATTAGGGTAGTGGGCGTTACAAATTAGTAGTAGCAAAAGATAGTATTAGTATTAGTAGTACTCGTAAGTAGGTCGGTTGCTTCTCTGATCAACTTTGTGTGCTAGCTATATGTCTGCAGTAATCCTTCTTTGTATCTGAGTCTGTGTGTCTTTTACAAAATATATATTATAGTATATAAACATTATAAATTGTCTCGGATCCTCCACTCCTTTAGGGCACTTGGTAGTGTTAGTCTCTTTAAAACTGTGTGCTGCTACATTCATTGCTAATGTAGACTTCTCATTTTCAGGAATTTTTAGGGGGTTTGTGTGTAGTTTAGTTTAGAACTTCAGTGCGTAGTTAGTACGTAAAGATGTGTGGTTTAGATATTGGCATTCCTGTGCTTCCTCATCCTCTGGTCTCCACCTCATAGCCGGAAGGGCTCGCGCTTCTCCGTCGGCGTGGTGCCGCGCGATGTCCGGCGCATTGTCGAGCTGAATGTCGGCTCTGCTGAACTCTTGCGCGGCGTCTGCATGCCGGATGGCGTGGAGCTGCCGCTGATGTTCCGCCTATAGGCACAGAATTAACATGATATGAGTTAGTTTCAATTTATACACAATTTAAAGTTCATATAACACATAAGGAGAACGAAATTTAAATCAAACTTAAGCATTAGTCGAAAGCTCATTGTTTTTTCGTTTTGGTTTTGGGTTTCATGGCATGGACGACATTCACATAATCATTAAACATGCTCGGAAAGAAGGAAGACTTGAACCAAAGACAATGTAAAGTATAAGATGCACAACGGGCATAAATATAAAAATAATGATTATCAATATTTTCTTTAAATAAAAAAATCATTCACTTGAAAAAGCCGCACAAAAAAACGAAATATACCAGTCGGCTACTATTTGGATGCTCTTTCAAGATAATTAATGATTGATGAAATCTAAATTTGTATATTTTAAACCAATTTTAATTATTAATTTCTGAGTTTTATTTAATCGCTCGAAAAAAATATTATTTTGTTTTTTTTTGAATTCGTCTGTTTTTGATTTATAGGATTTATAGGATCATGTAAAATTTAATTAAAAGAAACCTCTTAGAAAGAATATATATCACATTGAGCGAAATAATAATAATTATTTTTTGATCGATTAAGTAAATATAAAATTATAATTATTATTGACAAGTAAAATATATTAAAATCAATGGATAATCATTAAACATTGATTTCTATTTTTTCACTGATAATGATTACGTGCCCTGATAAAAATAGAATGCGTCGCACATAAAAGTATCGAGTACAAAAGCTAATATGTCGTTACGCATCTTATTCTTTAAACTTTCTTTGGTTGAACAAACAAAGGAAACTTAACGATTAAATTAATAATTAAACGAGTATAAATCATAGTTACTTGCTACTAGCAGTAGAGACTCTGAGTTGGTAAATTGACTAGTTAATGTCTGTTGTTTGGAGGTTTTTAAGCTTATCAACTTTACCCCAAGCTGGTTGGATTCGTAGTCGAGCTGGTGGGCGATGTTGACTTGGAATCGAATGAGGGTATCTTAATCGGTATCCGTGATGGCCGGCTTTCGTTGGATGGGGGTAGTAAGTAAGTACAAAAGTTAGCGAAAGGTAAACCACAACCATAGCTATGCCTATGCCTGCAGTTCATGAGATCTTGTTCTTAAATCTAGCCTAGAGTCTTATGATTATGAAATTATGTTTAATTATGTCAAGGGTCGCTGTATTACCTAATTGGTTTGAAGCCGAAGCCTGTTAGTGCTGGTATGCTGGATGATCTACTCATGCCTCCGTTGCTGTTTTACATACGTATATATATTTTTTGGGAGGGGTTTCAGACACAAGTTTCGCAGTTAGTTGTATTTTTAGTTGCGTTCAAGCAAATTTCAAAAATGGTTCAAATGCCAATTGTAGTTGTAAGTTAGCGTTTTTTATTTTTTCATGATGTTTTGTTGGTTGTTTTTGTGTGAGTGGTGTTCGTTGGTCAAGAGTTAATGCGGTGGTCAACCGAAAACGGTGTGGAAATAAAAATAATAAATTAATAAGAGTGTCTGAATACATCCCGCCCCATCGAGGTCCCCGCTGATCTCAGCAGTGATTGCTTTGTCACCTAAAAGCCTACCTTGTGGGCGCTGGACTGGCCGAACCGGAGGCGGTCTTGCGGGTGATGGTGCTGGTACCATTGAGACGGCTGCCTGGCGTTGTGGTGGTGGTCACCGAAAGACGCGCCGGACGCGGCGTGGTGCCGCTAGTGGTGCTGGCCGTCGACGGCTTTCGCTGCGGAATGCGTGAGGGCGTGTGATCGTCTAAGGACGAAAACAAAACAATGGTTATTAACTGAGCTTGCCATATTTGAGGGGCTTCTGCTTACCCGTGCTATCTAGCGACAGCGTGGAGCCTTGTCGCGACGGCGGCTTCGATCCTTGTCTGCTGAGCGGGCGCGAGTTTGGCTTAGAGCCGGCGCGTGAGCCTCCTGGCGTGAGGCCAGTGCGCGTGCTCGTGTAGGTGACCTTGCGGGGCGTGTACCGACCCGAGGGTCCTCCGTGGCTGCCCTCGTTGTCGCTCAGAGAGTCGGGTGTGCTGGCCGAGAGAGAGGATCGCGATGGACGCGACATGGGAATGGAGCGAACGGAACGCTCGCGAACCTGCATAAAAATATAGGCATATTATCAGTGAAATTCGGGTGCTTCGTTTTAGTTCATCCCCTCTAAATGGAACCGACTGCGGGTGATCCTCCTGGAATAGCTTCTCCTTCTGCTCCTCCTCCTGTCGAACTTACCCAGTGTGTTGTTGGATGACAATGCAGCACATGAGGACTCAGCGGCACCGAGCGACTGGTATTGCAGCGAACGAATACCGTGCCGCCGGCGCCCATGTGAATGGGAAAGGCGCATGGAACCTGGTCTTGAGCGCGGATTTTCTCAAAGATTGGCATTAGTTCGGCCAAGTGTTCGTCGGCTAGGTAGGGAATCAATCAAATTCGATACGTTTAACCAACAAAGGACAGACCAATGGCAGCTGGCAAACGGTATTTGGTCACTTAGGCCACAAAACAACAACCTAACAACTTGATAACCTGGCCTAAACTCAATTGCTGAATGATCAAAGTGTGGGGTGTACTCCAGCATCAACTAAATAGGGCCGCAAAAGCTATTAAAAAATATTCTTAAAAATCCACAACATATATGTACATATTGATTGATACGAATTGTATTCGGTTCTCATGCAGATACAACAAAATCAAGAGTCGGCGGCGCGCAGCAGCGAGAGCTTTTCTTTGTCAACAACACACACACATAAGCCCAAATAAAAAAGAAACAGGAAGGAAAGGAGCACTTACCTTGTGCCTCCTGCAGGGTTTTGGGATGAATGGATGGATGGATGAATCGGTGTAAGGTTTTCAAGAATCGGTTTCATTGTGATTAACCGCCTAGCGTAATTGCACCTGGTTTCCTTTATACAAATTTATTCAAAATACGGCAAGTTTTTGAATGGATTGGATAGTTTTTACGTACAGCACTTTCGCTTAAAATTATGTTTTTAGGCTGAAAATTATATTAGGAACAAAATTATACATAATTAAACGTCTAAATTTATGACGAAAATTAAAAAAAATAAACCGGATAAACAATGGAAATAGACTTGAAAATGGCAAAGTTAAAATATCGATTCAATTACCTACTGTGCTACGCATTTGCTTTGGACTACGGTAAGGTTTTTCGGAAGTACATATTTATATAAAGAAATTAAAAAATTTGTTGTAACTATCCATTCCAACTGAGCCTTGATTCGTATGGAAATTGAAAGCAGGTTACCCTTTGGTTTATTTTTTGGGGGAGTTTCGGTTACTGTCGATTTCTTTTCTTTTAGATTTACCTTGATGATGGGACCCTGTCCACTCATATATGGCGGCAAGTTGGAGCTACCGCCATTCTGGGCATTGGGTGAGGAGGAGGCAGTGGCGGCCGCATTGGGCGTGGAACGTCTGGGCGTGAATGCGGCCATGCTCTGTGAGACGCCATCGGCCAATATGAATTGTTCGCGCAGCTCAATGTTAGTGCGTCCCTTGGCTGCTCCCGTGGTAAACAGAGTGGCATTTTTGGTAGCGATTGCAGCAGCGGTTTGCAGTGAATGCATCGTATATACATTATATGTATGTATATTTGGCATTTTGTTTGTATGTAACACAGAG